AAACATTTAGATTAAAGATCTGCAAATCATGGCCCGGCCCGTTATTTTTAAAAAATAATTTCAGCTCTGGGTGGGGCCTAAATTTTTAAATATGATATTATATTTTGTCAAATAAATTGATATATTTACAATAAAAAAAGTATCAAATATTTTTCTATATTTAAATAAATTCAGGTCGGGCCGGTTGAACAGATATTTTGTATTTCATGTCGGGCTTTTCGGGACAAATAAAATTAAATTTCGTTTTAGATAGGGAGCTTAAAAATTTTTTTTAAATATTTCGGGCTGGGTTTGGGAAATTAAGCACTATGCAGATCAGAACTATTGACCGATATAACACCTATGGTGGAAACAGAACCTCTGGAAAAGAGATATCCTTCTTGAATAAGTAAACTCCCAGAAAGATATCAAAGATAAAGAAAGATGTTGCGTTTAAAAATATCAATTATGCATTACTTTTTAAATATAAATTGACTTTATATAAATTTAGTTTCAGCCTTGTATAAAATTAATTGTTTATATTATTATTCTATTTATTATCTTTCAGATTAAAATTAATTGCTAATTGCTTATTTAAAAAATATATATGCTGAGTAGTGAATGAATAAAAGTTAATTGTTGTACAAGTACTTATATTTTAAATATCCCTAATATTCCAGCCGGCCCAAAATTTCAAGAAAATTTGTTTGCCCCTCCCCGATCCCGAACAAATTTTATTTTTAATTATCCCCAAAAGCCCGACTTGAAATAAAAAATTAAGTTTTAAATTCCGCTCGGCTCGAATTTAAACAAATTAATTTATATAATGTAGTTTTACATTTTTACGCTAATCATAATTGAGTTTTTGTTTTTTTACAAACAAATAAAAAATATTGGCCCCTTTTTATTTGCAAAGATTTTGAAATATATCATTGCAAACCCAGTCTGGCCTATATTTTAAAATTTTTTTTAACCCGAACCAGTTCTCCTTTTTAAATATGTCTTAATTCGGGCAGATCTGTATGGGTTTACGTTAAGTTTTATTAGTGTAGAATTTATAAAAAGTATAATATTAAGATAGGCAAAGTTTTAATTAGTTAATATGTCTAAGCATTGTAACATGCAAAAAAATAAATTGATAGGTTAAAAATATGAATAGCATTTAATTTTATATTTTACTCTTATTTCTTCATCCGTGGTCTTCCATTTTTCTCTAATTATCTATTTATATCTCTTTATTAGCTATTAATTTATTTATTTTTCTGTCTTTCTCACCCGTCTATTTTTCGATAAAGATATTTATTGGATTTATCTCAACTCTGTTAAATTCATTCCATCAGTTTTAAATGGTCCTGTAGCTAAGTTCTTCTAGTTTTTCTATCACACAACGTAAATAATTATAACTTGACATTAAAGTTGCATTCTTAAATTTAGTATTGTCCAATGACGTAGAGTGAAGTTTACTATTAGGGAAGCAAATGACTCTTTAATTTTATTTAGCAAACCATACAAAATATTAAAATTTATAAAAGCAGAATTCGTATACTAAAATTGTTTTAAACTTTTTAATATATTTTTTTCAATTGAGATGGATAGGATAATCGATAAATTTTTATTCTTTTTAAATATTTAAATTCCTCGCTTTGAAAATGCGTTTTTGAGGGAAGCCTTGCTTCCCTTGTAATTTTTCTTATAAAATATTTAAATAATATTAATATAATTTCTAGACTATATTTTTTAAAAAAATACAATTCTACTACGTTAAAAAAAACTTAATATAATATTTACTACGTTAAAAAAAATCATGCGGGAGCTTAGAATAAAATCTTTCCATAACGATATATTTTTGGTGAATTTTTTTTATTATGTTATAAAAAAAATAAACATTCCAAATATAAAATTGCTTATTTTTTAAATAAAAAAGAGAAAATCAGTAATATTTTTTTTAAAAAATAAACGTTGGGAAAGCAGATAAAATAAATGCATATTTTTTTTAATAAATAAAAGAGAAAGTATGGATTCGGCAATTGTATGGTCTCTCCATTTAACAAAATATGCAAATCTTTATTCGAAATCGGACATGAACGGTTGTTAGAAACTACTAAATGACAGCTGTAGTCATAAATTAGAATACATTAAAGATTAAAGAGAATATATGGAGATACAAGACTAAGTCGAAATCGAAGGAAAGTTGTTCATTTGCAGAAGTATGGATCCAACGTAAGTGACATTGGCGTACGCAGTGGGGGGGGGGGGTCCCCCCCTCCAAAGCCAAAAAATGCAGATGCCGGATATATTTTTCAAAAATATTATTTATATTTGTAAATATCTATTCGTATCTCATATTAAATATATATTTAATTACATTATAAGTAATTTTATCAATTAATTTCGATTTCAAGTTTTCCGGCGTAATATTTAGTTATTATTTTCAAATTTTTAGTGGCGTTATATTTATCTACCATTTTCAAATTTCTAGTCAAATAATAATTATTTCTGAAACTTCTGGTTTAACAGGGAAAAAGAAATTGCAATCTTGTCCAACGAGATAGAGTCTCTGCCATCAAGCAGTAACAGCTTTTAAGGAGTTAGAAGAGCCAGTTATTTGCTATTACTGAAATATCACAATGGCCTTAAAGAATCAGAAGCAAGAAAATTATTGGATTTAATGCTTATTCCAAATTTTATTTCTCATTGGAATGTATTATTTAATTATACAACTATTTTAAGTATTACTTTTCAAAAACGTGACGTTGAATTGATTAAGAAGATGAGAATAGCGGAGAACATTTTATCAGAACTCAAGGAAATAAGGACTAATGTTGATGAAGAATTTCATATTTTATATTTTATTGTTGAGTCAAAAGCAGAGCTATACGTGTTTAATATTTGTCTCCCTCGACTTTTAGCAAGGCAGGCTCATCGTTAAAACATTAATATAGGATCAGTAGAAAAGTATATCTTAGATACAGATACATTTATAACCCAAATAAATGAATTTTTAATTCATCATGCAGCAATTAATCTGCAAATATTATTTCCCAAAAGCCTTTCCAATCTTTTTCAGATGGTGATAGAAAAAAAATTATTTGTTAGATTTTTATTATGAAGATGTTAAAGTATCTTATGATGCCTTACTAAATGAATAACTATGTTTATAAGATTAACTATAGTTGATATAGTCCCAAAAAATGCTATGAATGCTCTGCATTATTTCAAACACATTTTAGATTAAATTCCCAATGTATTAAAAGGGGTTTATAAATTCTTCCCATTAGTAAACTAATGAAAGAACATTCTCTTTTTTAAGAAGAATAACAGAGACCTGCAGAAGCACCATTTGCAGAGCACGGTCCGGATTTTTTTTTAAAGATTTTTTACTGCACGGCCTGGTTTTTTTCAGCCTGGCTTTTTTAAAAAAAGTATTTAGGCCCGGCTCGGCTTTTTTTTTTAAATTTTCAGACCCAGCCCGGAATTTTTTAAAATAAATTATATTTATTTTTGATTTTTATAGCTAATAAAAACTATTTCAAATGTAGGCTGTTTTAAAAAATACAGCCCGACCTGGGTGTTTTTTTAAAATAATTCAGGCTCGGCTTGGGTGTTTTTTTTTAAATTCAGGCCCGGCCCGGGTGTTTTTTTAAAAAAAATTTAGGCCCGGCCCGGGTATATTTAAAAAAATTAATATACTGTCTGGCCCAGGGGCCGGGCTTGCAGGTCTCTGAAAAACATACCAAGAAGTACAACATCTGAAAGTAGATTGAAAGGTTTGGATCTTTTGAATATTCATAGGCATTTGACGACAAGCAAAGATGAGATAATTAAAAAATTAGCTCAATTCCAACTACATTGTAAATAAATAACATACAAAATACAATTATTCCTAAGAAACTTTTTATATAAAGGCTCAAAAAATTCAAATTTCTATTTTGGGTAATTTAAGTGATTCTTTACATATAATTTTTTTAAATTCACATTAATTTAAAATTGTGTATTAGGAATAGTTATTAGTCCTAATAAATTTATGCTTGATATTTTTAAAAAACAATAATATTTCTTAAAAATTTTTATTATCCCCCCCCCCCCAGACCAAATTCCTGCGTACGCATGGTAAGTGGATATGCGTATGTTATGTTCTTCCCAAATAAATGATAAAAACTGTATTTTATAATTTATTATAATTTAATTAGTAATGTTAATTTTAAAGTATCTTGTATTTAAGATACTCAAATTAGGCAAAAGATACAAGTATCTTTTATCTTTTATCTATCTGATCTTTTGAAAAAGTTATTAGTATCTGTATCTAAGATTAATTTTTTCATAAAAATCTGTATCTGTATTTTTCGGGAGGGTCTACCCAACTCTGAGTGAAGTATTAAATTAAAAGTAAATATAATACCTTTCATGTGTCAGCTTTGATAGGTTACGTGACTTTGACATAATATCAATCGTTTCATTTTTTAACAAAACTTTAGTATACTTTTTTTTTAATTTGAAAAGCATGAATTTTTAAAATAAATTTATGCTCTGGAGACTATATTATATTCTTGTATTTGTCAGAATATGTAGTCCTTTATTCATGTCGGGATATATTCATCCCGATGAGCTCATTCAATCATTTGAACCATTTTCATGTAATTAAAATTCATATATTTTTTTATCTTTTAAAAGCTTTAACACATAAGGGATATGTGGAAAACCCTTGGGAGTATGAAATTGATTACGCGCTAAGATCTTGGATAGGACCTCTGATTTTAGTTGGAGTTCCAATTAGTTTTTACAATATTATTCATAGCATATTTGAAAATTTTCAATTTGCAAACATTACTACATCTAAATATGTGGTAACTAGATTGTGGATGACTATTATATCACTCATAATTGATTTTTATCTCTATAAAATTTTATTGAATATTTATAAACATATGTTACCTTGTAATACTAAAGTTTTAAAAACATTTAAAGATGTTAATAGATTAATTCCTATTATATTAATACTTTATGCATCATCTCCTTCTATAATGATATATGGTACAAGAACATTTAGCAATAATTTTGAATGGGTATTATTCACCTACATTATATATATTTTAGTTAATGTTATATTAAATTTACCTAACCATAATCAAACTTTATATTCTTTCCTTAAATTATGTATTTTAGTTGTGATTTGTATATTTATTAGACCAACCTTTATTATATTTTTATTTTTGCCTTTTTCTTTCATATTTTATTTAAAAATTTCTGCTCTTGTAAGGGAATATAAGTATTTAGAATTTATGATCATTATGTCATCACTTATATTTGTCACAAACATTCTTATTTTTTTAGATTCCTTACTATACCACAAAAATATGATGAAATCGTTGTTTTATAATTTTATATACTTTTATGAAATATTTCATATTACTAAACCAAATGCACTTATAGCAAATATTTTTTATTATGGTTCATTAGCCAAGAAAATTATAATAATAACTCCTATTAATTTTATATTTTACAATTCATCCGAGAAAAATTTATCAAATCATGGCTTGCATCCCTTATATACTCATCTTTTGGTTCATGCTCCATTTTTATGGTCATTACCTCTTGTGATATTGAATTTAAAATTTATGGTTCAATTTCTGTTCAATTTTCACTTAATCAAAACTTCTAACTGTGATACAAAGTTGAACAATGCAATAAGGCTATTAATGCTTTCATTTCTTTTTCCCTTAATAATTTTCTCCATGATACCCCATCAAGAAGCCAGATTTTTATTACCACTTTCTACACCTTTCTATTGCTTATTGTTTTTCAAATTTTCCCATATGTTAGTTTGTAACGTTAATACATGCACATCCGTCAAAATATATTCTATAATTATTTTAATAATAATTTTTTGGCATTTTCCCCTTTTCGTTGTTATGTGTTTATATCACCAAGGTGGTTTAGTTAGTTCATTGATCACCTTTCCTCCTCATGCAGTTATTCAGGATTTGAGGAGATTTGAAGTTATTTTAGATGATGCAGAAAATAACTCACATTTTCTAGGCTTAACTTCCCAGGAAAACTATTATAATTTAACCCTTATCTATTACAAAACTTACCCACCTGCAAAATCTTTAATTAACCTTCAAAAGTTACACGATTCTGTCAAAGTTAATATTTTGGACTCTTCCACCCAACATTTGGTAAACATGTATGAACTTCATTCGTTTATCAACTGGACCCTGCAATCATATAAGCCTACATTGTCTCAAAAATTCTCTATTCCTTGTTTGATATATATCTATGCACCAGCCACCATTCACTTAGAGGATGCAAGCTTTGAATATTCTTCTGGCCTCAAAAAATCTAGCAACATAAGTTTTGTTTTGGTTAAAAATTACTCTCATCATCTTAGCATGGAGGACCCTCCCCTATTATCCTATTTAATAAAACCTTTCTATAACATTACAATATTTCGTGATTTGTTCTCGCGCATTACAGCCTTTTACCGAATCTTAAACTCTGAACTTTGTTTAAATATGTATCGATTAGAGATAGCACATTAAATAATCTATATTTATTTGATTCCTTGAAGCCTCGAAAACACCTTAATTAGCTTTATTTGTTGCAGAATCATCTAAATTTATTATATAATCTCTATCAAATGCCGCTGTTAAGAAGTGGGAGGGGGGGGGGGTCGTTTTAGAGAATTATAGATTCTTTCAAGTTCTTTTCTAGAAAAATTTGAAAAGTTTTTTTTTTTATAAAAAATTCAAATGGTTTTGAAAATTTTATTTGCTTAAACAACTTTTTTTTGTGGATCGTATTCACCATAAACCTTTAATATTTATTTATTTATGCACACTTAAAATCTTTATAATAACCCTTAATAAAGTCATGCAATTATTTTTAAATTTTACGAAAATATAGGCATTGTGAAAAAAAAATTTTAATTAATTTTTATTATACAAATTTTTCTTTAATGTTCCAATTATAACAGTTAAATATATTTTTTTAGTCCCCATCCTAGCCCATGTGCCTAACAAATATTACTCCCCGAGATTAATGATGGGGAAAGGCCTATTCCTCCCTTTGCGTTTTGTAAAATCTTGATTTTATTATTAAAATATTTAATTTATCAAGATTCAAATGTGTGTTCTTTCATCTAAAATCCAGTCCAGCCTATAGTTGAAAAATTTTGCTTATTGCTTGCTGAGGTAAGCCTATAATTTTTCTGTCTACTTCACACCTTTAGGTTCCACTTACTAATTTTAAGACTTCTTGTTTATTTTTTTAAATTTTTATTATAGTGATATTCAAATGGAGAGGGATGAGAGTAATAGGAAATATGAAATGGTTATTTTTTCTTACTTTATTTATTATGTTACGACCAAGCTCTGGTCTCGGGATTATGGTCCAACTCAAGGAAATTATTTTTAATCACATGATCTGTCAGATTTAATAAGTTATTGATTAAATTTATTTATAAAAATGAGTAATTTTTATCAGAACCCAGTTTTAATTTATCAATTCCTCCAACCCATATCTCTCAAACCTTTAACTAACAACTCTAACCTTTTAACTTTAAAAATATATTTCACCCAATTAAAAAATTTCCATGAGTTTGGTTATTATCGGGTCGTGGGCCCCCTTCATTACTAATTTTAATTTTTCCTCCTTAATATAATGGATTGAAGAACAAGGGATTCTCTTAAAGAAAAATAGTAAATACAATATTTATGAATTAATGTGAAATAATCATTGGCGTAGCCAGGATTTTCTAGGGAGGAAGGGGAATTTCTTTGAAGGTCTTTAAGTTCATTTATTGCAGACCTTTGGATATGTTACTTTTTTTAAAAATTATTTATGATTTCCTTTTTTTTAAATATAAAAATACTTTTTTTTCTAAATATTTTGAATTATACCCTTTATTTTAAAAAAATTTATTAATTTTCTTTCAAATTATTGTTTGTTGATATATTATATAAATTTTTGGGGGAGAAAATGGAGGTCCTGAGGATTCTTTTTTAAAATAATATTTACTAGAACAGGAAAATTGTCTCAACCCCCCATCCACCTTTTCGTTACATCTGTGCAAAAAATAATTAGTCCTATGTCTTAAATAATAACTATTTTAAGATAAATAGTTAATTTTTCGCATTAAAGTAATCTATTACCGAATTGTATTTATAAAAAGTAAATTATATTTACTCAAATCCTAGACAGAGTAGGCGATTTTTAAAAAATAATCATTAAAATAACTTATTTTTAGTATTATCTCAAGTGGGTTAGTGTTAAACTGCTATTTAAGCTGATTTAAAAAAATGGCAAATATAATATTTTGACCAGAAATATATTCAGGTTTTTGTAATATTTTTTGGATAAAACATTGAGTTGGTCTTTTTTTAAAATAGGATTCAAATTGAGCCGTTTAACTACATTAGTGTGAGGAGGGACAGAAGGTCAAATTCTGCCCCCCCTCTTATAAATATACCACACGATTTGGCGCTCTATGCACAGTTCATATACTAGAGGAGAACCGATTCTGAATATAAAGTCAATCGATAAATAAATCTTCTTGTCCTTTTAAAATTATAAATATAATTATATTAAAGATTTAAAATATTATAAATTTTCTTTAAACGGCTACTAGTATCCCAGGTCAAAATTGTAATAATTTCTGAAGATTTTTTTTATATTTCTGTGTTCGCTATACGGATTACGATGGATGTTAAATAATATATCGTCATACCTTGTTTTTTCTTTCTTTCCACTGTGCCAAAACTTTGTTTCATTTTATATACGTTATAATTGTAATAGCTAAGGCAATTTGCATAATTGATTTTTAGAGATGTTATATCTTGTAAATTTAGACTGATTGGGCCATCTTTTCCCTCCTTTCCACTTCTAGTTACTTTAAATGTTTATTTCTCCTGTTATAAAAATTATTTTATGCAACGAATTTACTAAATCCCTATGGCTCTAACAATTGGTACGGCTCCAGTTTAAATAATAAGAATCTCAGATTTGTTTGAGTTTCGCAGAATTTTAAATTGAAAATGAATTATTGGATATATCACTGGACTAAATATTAGACAAGAAAATAATTTCGAGCATTCAGTATTTTTTATCCCCCTAGTGTTAAATTTATTCTGAGCGTTTAAAGAATTTTTCTTAGCATTTCAGTTTCAATTTTGAGCGAATAGGAGCCAAAACAATCAAAGTAATGTCTACATACCCATGATCCATTTTGATCAAAATTCAAAACAACAATCCTTAAAACAATTATCATGGATTTAAATTCTAGAGTTCTTGGAATCATATTCTTATAATATAGAAAATCATGAGGGAGGAATATTTTTTGCGTTAATCTTGATTAATATTTTTACACATATATTTTTAAAAGAGTAGAAATTTTTTATTCATTTTATAAAACTAGATTCTTTTTATAGTAGAAAGAGTATTCAGATTTTTTTGAACGATTCAAGTGCTCCCTCATGTTCTCCACTTGGAGTGCCTGATTTTTTATATTTAGGTTTGATCCAGAGTATTTACATTTTTTAATAAACTCCCAAGAAAAAACAATTTTTTTATGCCAAAATAGCGGAGATATTATAAATGGCGATCAGAGACCTGCAGAGGTACCATTTGCACAGCGCGGCCCGGATTTTATTTTTAAAAAATATTTTCGGCCCGGGTTTTATATTTTACTGTTTTTGATTATTCTTGCAATTGCTCGACGCATCTTCCTTAATTTTCCTCTACTCAACAGACTCACGGAGGAACCTATGACTAGAGAACTGCACGGGCTGTCCGTAGCCCGACCCGGCCCGAGCCTCGGGCTCGGGTCGGGTTCGGACATCAAAAAAAAAATTTCTCGGGTTCGGGCTCGGGTCGGGTTGTAAAAGCTGTCCGACCCGAAAACCCGACCCGACCCGAAAATATATATAATAATATTAATATCTTAAATAGTTAGTATAATTTATAATATTAATTATAAAATCATATTATTTAATATTTATCACATTTTAGGATTAAAATGTCAATCATATTAACATGTCATGTCATTATTAATTATATTTTATAAACCTAACAACCGGATACCAAACTATTTTATTACTAAATTGTGTTTCTCGTAAATTACAAGATAAGACATATTTTATGTAAGTTTTATTTATTATTTAACTAGCCTATACATTGTCTTTTTTAACATTTGTTTTAACCCTTCACTACAAAGGTAGAAAAAACTCCCTTAACTACAAAGGTGGGGTCTATTTTACCCCAAATTTTGATTAGATATATCTCAAAACATATTAAAAATTGAGATCTAAAATTTTGAGTATATATTTAAAAAATATTGGAGATAATAAATACAAAATCTTAGATTAATATTTACTTCCAAAAAAAAAGTTAGGCAAATTTTCCTAAAATTACTGAAATAAAATTTTCTTTTTCAGTACTTCCTTTAATTATTTTATTATCACTAAATAAAATTCAAAAAATTCAAATTTTATTAAATCAATGTTGAATAATGATAATTACATAAATTTTATAAAAAAATATCATATATCAAAAAAAATATTAATCATCAAATATGTAAAATTATTAAAAAATAATAATGTAAATATATATCTTAATATTATTATTGAATATTTTTTTCTTAAGAAACTACAGAGTAGAGAACTGCAAAGTAATTTTTTCGCAACCCGAGCCCGACCCGAGCCCGAATTAAAAAAATTTTTTTGTCCGAGCCCGACCCGAGCCCGAGCACACATTTTTTAATCCAACCCGACCCGACCCGAGCCCGACCCGAATAAAATTTTGCAATTTAAGTTTTAATATTATAATAACCAAAATAAAATTTATGTGTATTTATTCAGTTCAGCCACCTTAAATAAAAGTTTATTTGACGGCCATAATCAATTCAAGATATATATTAAGTTGCATTTTTAAAATTTGTAAAAAATATTATAAAACGATTAATATACAAGCGAATTTAAAAATTATAACGATTATATAATAAGCATCATTTATGCGAATATAGATATGATGTAAAAGTTAATAAATATATAAAAAATATAATGAACATATTATATTATATATTGACCTCATCAATATCATTATCAAAATTATCACAAGAATAATTATGATATATAAATAAAGAGGCGTCCAGTTTATCTGGCTTTAAACGAGTCCTTCTCTCCTCAAAGGCCCTACCAGCAGCTGAAAACGCCCTTTCACTGCTAGCCGACGAAGCAGGGATAGCCAGGAATTTAAGAGCTAAAATACTTAAATTTGGAAACTCATAATGGTTTGTTTTCCACCATTTTAAAATATTATCGTCATCAACACATAATTTCGGATCTAGATATTTTTTTAGCTCGTCAACTTCGGCGCTAGCATCAGAATACGCATTGTCAGCCTCCCATAGAGAGAAGTCCAAAAACGTATCTACCACCTCTGTAGTTTCTTAAGAAAATAATATTCAATAATAATATTAAGATATATATTTACATTATTATTTTTTAATAATTTTACATATTTGATGATTAATATTTTTTTTGATATATGATATTTTTTTATAAAATTTATGTAATTATCATTATTCAACATTGATTTAATAAAATTTGAATTTTTTGAATTTTATTTAGTGATAATAAAATAATTAAAGGAAGTACTGAAAAAGAAAATTTTATTTCAGTAATTTTAGGAAAATTTGTCTAACTTTTTTTTGGAAGTAAATATTAATCTAAGATTTTGTATTTATTATCTCCAATATTTTTTAAATATATACTCAAAATTTTAGATCTCAATTTTTAATATGTTTTGAGATATATCTAATCAAAATTTGGGGTAAAATAGACCCCACCTTTGTAGTTAAGGGAGTTTTTTCTACCTTTGTAGTGAAGGGTTAAAACAAATGTTAAAAAAGACAATGTATAGGCTAGTTAAATAATAAATAAAACTAACATAAAATATGTCTTATCTTGTAATTTACGAGAAACACAATTTAGTAATAAAATAGTTTGGTATCCGGTTGTTAGGTTTATAAAATAATAATTAATAATGACATGACATGTTAATATGATTGACATTTTAATCCTAAAATGTGATAAATATTAAATAATATGATTTTATAATTAATATTATAAATTATACTAACTATTTAAGATATTAATATTATTATATATATTTTCGGGTCGGGTCTTCGGGTCGGACAGCTTTTACAACCCGACCCGAGCCCGAACCCGAGAAAATTTTTTTTTGATGTCCGAACCCGACCCGAGCCTCGGGCTCGGGTCGGGCTACGGACAGCCCGTGCAGTTCTCTACTACAGAGGTGGTAGATACGTTTTTGGACTTCTCTCTATGGGAGGCTGACAATGCGTATTCTGATGCTAGCGCCGAAGTTGACGAGCTAAAAAAATATCTAGATCCGAAATTATGTGTTGATGACGATAATATTTTAAAATGGTGGAAAACAAACCATTATGAGTTTCCAAATTTAAGTATTTTAGCTCTTAAATTCCTGGCTATCCCTGCTTCGTCGGCTAGCAGTGAAAGGGCGTTTTCAGCTGCTGGTAGGGCCTTTGAGGAGAGAAGGACTCGTTTAAAGCCAGATAAACTGGACGCCTCTTTATTTATATATCATAATTATTCACTTTGTGATAATTTTGATAATGATATTGATGAGGTCAATATATAATATAATATGTTCATTATATTATTTATATATTTATTAACTTTTACATCATATCTATATTCGCATTAATGATGCTTATTATATAATCGTTATAATTTTTAAATTCGCTTGTATATTAATCGTTTTATAATATTTTTTACAAATTTTAAAAATGCAACTTAATATATATCTTGAATAGATTATGGCCGTCAAATAAACTTTTATTTAAGGTGGCTGAACTGAATAAATACACATAAATTTTTTTTTGGTTATTATAATATTAAAACTTAAATTGCCGGGTCGGGCTCGGGTCGGGTTGGATTAAAAAATGTGTGCTCGGGCTCGGGTCGGGCTCGGACAAAAAAAAATTTTAAATTCGGGCTCGGGTCGGGCTCGGGTTGCGAAAAAATTACTTTGCAGTTCTCTACCTATGACATATTTTACAAGGGTACATCAAAGCCTAACATCGATATTTTATGTTTTCAGGGATTATTGTTATTGCTTAAAACAAAGTCGTTTCAGTTAGGGCTTTAATTGTTATACCAATTTCGATCTTTTCAGTCCCTATTTGATCTGCCACAAGATTACTAGTTTCAACCTGGGCTCTTTCTAGGGTCAGTGCAAGGTTTATCTTATTATTAAATTTATGCATTCTCAAAATTATCATCCGCATAATGAGAAAGCAGCTATATAAATCTTATAGCCTAGTGTCTATGATAGCTTCCTCTTTAGACACCTAGCCAAACTCCGTTGGCCAAACTAGAGAACACATACCGCCTGCTTTCAATCGGATAAAATTTTCAAATAAAAAAATAGATTTTTTTTCAATAAGCTAACGTAGCTTACTTTTATTTTTTTTAAATTTCGAAAGTTTGTGAATTTAATTTTTTGATATTTTGGACACAGCTAATAAAAAATGAAATTTAGAATAAACTATTGACTAACCTATAGATATGAGGGATTTGATTTTATATTTTTATAAAGTTGACAGATCATTAGTGACCGAAACCATAGCAGGTCTCTAACAATAAATTGATTTAAAATGATAAAATCGGAAGGATGCAAAAAAAGAGTTTTCGTAAACTTTATTATATAAAATAGTTGCGAAATTTATTTAAAAATAAAAAAAAATATATAATTAATATTATTTGTATAAGCAAAATAAATAAATTATCTATTCTGATGAAATAAAATATTATTTGCACATGATTAGTATTAAAAATTTGACATATAAAAAATCTCAAAAATAAATTTTTTAAAAAAAGAAATTGCACTTTTTATACTTATTATGCGATGGAGTCCTAGAAGATTATATTTAAATTTCTTAACTAAAAATGATCTAAAATTTTTTTGGTATTCTTATTTGACGCAGAACTTTATAATTCTAAAACAATAAATATCAGGGTTAATGTCAAAAGATATAAAAAAAAATTAATTATGTCAAGTTTATGTTCAAAGATTTAAGTAATATCAGGACTTAGCCTAAAAGGATATTATAATAATATAATCCAAATAATAAGAATTGTGAGATATTTTAGTCGATGCGTGTAATAAAAATTAGAGACGGCGGAACCGCAAGCGTCGTCTTTTTCTAAAATATTATGGGAATAACAAGTCGTAGGGCGGCGTCGGTAAGCGTGCATTTTGATTCCGTGGCATTTGTTCCTCCTTCGCTTCTTGTGAGGTATATCTTTTTTACCATCGGAATGACTAGACGAGGTATCAGAATTTTCCGATTCCTTAATAATATCGTCGCTCTCCTCGTCGTAGCTCCCATCAAAATTATCGTCCAAAACTTCCTGGTGCATGAGGGATATCGACTTAGGTTGGAAGTTAAAGGTTAAATCGTCGCAAAGGGTACATATGTCTTGGACACCTTGATATGGTTCTTTGGCATTGCCGGACAAGGAGGATTGCGTGCTGGTCCCTTTCCTGCCTTTAGGCTTGATTCCATCGTGGCCTCCAGCTTCAAAAAATCCAGATTTTGCCTTCCTAACTACCACCAAGAGGAGATTGGTAAAAGGAACAAGGCTAACCGTGTAGGGTTTTCCGCAAAACCTTAATCGATCGTATTTCGTTGGAATGGACGAATAAGCAGCGCTCCCGCCACAGTTTGATATCGAAGAGACGGGGCCCTGGATTAGTTTAGAGATGTATAAAATTTTAATTTGTAAAATATCGAGAAAAACAAAATCTTTAAATAATTAAATAAAAGCATTTCTGATAAAATTCCTTCTTTTCTTTTCTTTTTCTCAAATTGAAATGAGAATGAAAAAACTATTCAAAAATTAAATGTTTAATCAATTCTACTCAATATAAATTTTAAATTTGGTATTTTTATATCATTCATAACTATATATATATTATTTTATTTTTTTTAAAATTATTATTGATTGAATATTTAAAAGATTATAAAAGTATTTATTTTATTATAACCTCGGTGGCCAACAACTGCGTGTTCAAGATGAACAGATTGAACCTCTTCACGCATTGATGAGGAGGTCTAAACTCTTTTATATCGTGTTCGTACTCTGGTTCGTCTTCTTCCATGTCATTAATATTGGGGTTTTTTGGTAGGAATGGAATATTCGAGTTATTGGAATAGGTGCTAATAATACTGGCAGATTTTACAAGATCAATGGAAGATACGTAAAAATTGATGTAAAAAATGTACAAAATGGATGCGGTTATGTGTTTTAAATTCGCTATTATGTTGCTTATCAACGTCACAGTAACCTTCGCGTAGGGTTTTAATGGGGAAGAATACATTTGCATCAAGTTGAGTAAATATTTGAAGCATAATAGCAAAACTTTAAAAATATGCGCGCATATTTGAAGATAATTCATGTTAAAATTTTTGAAAGATGAACTGAATACCGAAACTTTTGTTTCACACATAGCTTGAAAGTCGAATAAGTTGACTCTAAATATATTTAAAAAATTAATTTTTTTATTTTTATTTGTGAATAATTTTACTTAAAAAACGATTTCGTTTTAAAAATAAAATACAACATAAACGATATCAAAATGAAATATATTTTTTTTAAAAAAATAATATATATAAAAATAAAAAAAATATATATGGTGAATTCCATATCAAATCACAACCAAAAAAAGTCGATTCTCAACCCGACCCTCTTCAATTTTTCTTAAATTTTGCATAATGGTAGTATAAACTATAACTAAGAAAAAAATGAAATTTTACCTCCCAACAAGGTTTACTCGCTAAGATATGGGCGTTTAAAGCGCGGAAAAATAGTACATTTTTGACAAAATGTGCCTCATTTATTTTCAAATATCTCGAGAAATAATTAAGTTAGAAAAATAATTTAAATTTTATTATGTAGCTTAATAATAGTTCTTTAATATGACATAAAAATAAATATGATATAAATTTGATGAATGTCCAAAACCGGATGTATAAAACCGGAAATGGCCATAGAAAAAAAAAGGTATTTTTTTTTTTCGAAATTTTTTTTCCGTAGATAGATATAACACTGCTTTATATTTGTGCCAAATCCTAGCCTGGGATGAAAAAGGGTCTAGGAGTTATGACTCTTTATATGGCTTAAATTGATCAAAAATATCTTCATTTAATGAATACTTATGATATAATGTTTTTTTTTAAATTATGTCTAAATGATAGGCCCTAACTTTTTTTTATTTTTAATTGTTAACATGTTGTGACTGAAAATTACTTGACAAAATAATTCTAAACCAATTTATAACTTTATTTTTCTGAAATGCATAATTACATATAATATAATAATTCATAATTATGTTTACAATATATCATATATTAAATTATCTAAAGAATTGGTATAAATTTTGACTTTAATTTTATTTTCATCAAGGGGAATATAAGCATGGTATTTTTGTGTTCCCGGAATTCTTTTTGCTCTCAAAAATCTGCTTTCTAGATGATTTTCCATATTATTGTATTCATTATTGCTTACAAAAATGTAATTTACTCCATGTATATTATTTGTTGCAAAGTCGAATAAATCCATTGGTGTCAAAATATGGTTTTGATATGGCAGTTGCAAACTAGCTCGAGCTGCTAGCCGTTTTGTAATACCTCCTAAACTGTCGCACGGACTTATTCCATGAGCTGTAGCAAAAAAATGCCACTCGGCCTTTATACCAAAATCACATTCATGATTATAGAGATTTATGAAATTTTTTTTATTTTTATATTGGATTACGGCCCCAATCAGAAAAATAATAAATTTTGGTCAATATATCAAATCTTTCTTTTAAAAATAAGATCATTTTAGTTTGAAATAAATAAAAGGCACAGGCATTGTGCTTTAAGCAATCTGATATCACCACTAAACTTATATGTTTTATAGTGTTTTTGTATATATACAAATTTTATATTAAAAACATTAAAAAGAACTTAAAAAATGATACATCACCCTAAAGAGGTGTGAATGGTTAGGAAATAGAAACGGTTTCGAGAGAAGTGTGCTGACGAAGGTTTTATTTAATTATAAATAATTTTACGTGCCATTTGGAACTTAAAATTTTTTTTTAAATAAAAAAAGGTATGAAATCTAGAGCGGTTATATAAAAACCGGTAGAGGGATTTTTAACTTAAATGAAATTTTAATTTTAAACACAATTTTTAATTTTTTGGGTCATGTAGTTCAATTTTTTGGGGTTCACTTTAAATAAATGATGTATATATTTATAAGAGATCAACGCGACCCGTCAACCGCGAGTCAGGATAATTTAATAAAAATTAAAACGGGTCGGCCAATTTGTGCTTTAAAAGTCTTCTGGCCGAGCGAGACAATTTATACATAAAGTATCAAAAAATATCAAGGAGTGCCTCGTAAATATCTGATTTTTCTTAAAATATTTATAGGTTAGCTAGGGCATTAAAATTTTGATATATTTTTTTCTGAATTTCAGGTGAATACTTTGATTTTGGATAAATACCATTTGAAAAAGAATATGTCAATTTATTTGTATTTTTAGAGTTGTCTAACTAAACTACTATAAAATAAATAATATAGTAAAGTCACAAAAGATTTAACAATTTATTTATGAAATGCACAATATTGATACAAACGTAATTGATTTATAAAACGGTTATTGAAATATATAGCCATAGAGAAAAGATATAAGAACCTTAATTGACATAGGGAAAAAATTAGATAGATGTGGTTGGCCGGAAATTTACAAAAAAGAGCCGTCACGGAGTTTTTGTAAGATTTTATAGAGCGAGTCTGACTTCGTAAAATTTTTACGGGCAGAACAGAGCAAATTTAGTAAAAAATGATAAAGGGCTATTTAAACTATACGGGGGGGGGCATGGCAAAAATTTTTATTCATGAGCGGAAAGCGGCAAACCTCTAATTTATATCATACAATGTTTTCTTGCTTTTTAGCCAATCTAATATTTTAATCATATCATTCAATATAATTAAATTAACTTTTTATAGACATGGTTCGACAATGATAACATTATCTTTCCATCAACTTGTCCAAAAAACTTTCCTATATGCCGTGGGTTATTTGCTGATGACAGTATCACGTAGGCATGGTCATCTAACAGGTAACAAATTGTCCCCTCCACAAAACACTATTTTACAATAATATAAAATTAATTAATAAGTTTTTAACAGGTTTTAATATTTTTTTATCAATACATCTAACTTTTTAGAAAAAAATAAATCCGTAAATAAAATTCATAATAATGTTTATTTAGGTATACATCTATAGTAGAGGTGTTGTAGAAAACTCTAGCTAAATTATCCAATTTCATCCTCAAACCTACAACAGCGGCCGTAGCGCTCTGACTTTCGTCTTTATTTTTTATTACAACTGGACTACTAGCCATAATCGATATACCCGGATAATATGAACCCTTTTTGGTGCGCTTGTGAAGAGAATTATTGGAAGCAAAGGATGAAATCAAGTTTCCCTGTATTAATTGATGTTAAAACAAATACATATTTTACCTGATGATTCCCCCCTTAAAAAAATAGGCCTCCAAACAAGGTCCTAATCAAAATTAGCAAGAAAAAAGAAAATCTAAAGGATGGAGATAAAATTTCCCAGTTGAAACCTATCCCAAAGGGTGAAGAAAAACAAATTTACCATCCTGAAGATTTTACTAACCATTTTAACCGGACCGATTTGGCTGACAAAATATCTAGATTTCAATCAGCCGACCACTTTTTTGAAAATATTTTAGTGTTTTGGAGTGATCAGAACCGGTCCGGTTGAATTTCACTACCGTATTCGCAATAATTAAGGGCTAAACGATGTTACAATATCTAAATCAGGGAGAGTGGAATGATTGGCATTCGAATAGGTTTCGTCGTAATCTTCCTCCAAAATTTGAAGTGCAAAGCTATAATCGGGGAAATTGTTATGATCGACGGAAAAGACAAATTTGTTGGGCCCTATAGCATCAGCGCGTTTGTAATACAAATCTTCCAGAGTTTTCACATGTTTATCGATAAAATTGAGATTGTTTTTAGAGGTGGTTGAGGAAGACGTAGTAAATTTTTCGGTTTCTTGTGATTGGTCTTTTATTGTTATCAGCGTATTAAATTCGAAAAATAAATAAATCTTACAAGTTTTAAAAATAATTTCTTATGTAATTGTTTATTAAGATAATTATACTAAAAAATTATCCCTTTTCAAGAAAATTTAAGGAAGTAACATTGGGAATCAAATGACATGACATTTATATTGTCAAAGAATATTTGGTATGTTAAACTATTTTTTGATGTAACATAACAACACTAATAGTTGGCCAATGGTAATCGTAAATACAAAGAATATTATTTTATTCAATTGAAAGAGAAAGTAATCACTAACCTTTTGAACCAATTTCATAAAACCGAGTTAAACCAGACCGCGTTCCGATCAACACAATCTCGATGCCATGTGAATTAGAATAAGCGTTAGTGGTGTACCAATCGTTTAAGATAGATGTGGTTACTTTTGCATCAAATGCCAGACTGAGTATCAATTCTTTATCACCTGATGAATAAACAATAATTTTAAATGTAAATAGAGATATAGTGAGCAGTTCAAATCTCAAGGCCTCTTTAGGTGGAATTTGGATTAATAAAAAGATTTAAAACAAATCATATATGAGATTTTTGACTAAGGAGGTTATAACCGTGGCGTAATTATGATTTTATTTTAGAGGAAAGAAAGAAAAAAGGAATGGGTTAAAATTTTCTAAAAAAATTAAGAGTTAAATTCTCCCCTTCGGTTTATTGACCCTCACCCCACGCCCTACCGCTTTAAATAAGGCAATGTAACTGACAGTACGTTTCGCACTTTGAATTGTGCCTGTCCTCAACCCGAGCTTTAGGAAGAATTAATGTCGAGAAGAAAAATATATGTCCCCTTCCCCCTTATAGCTTTTAGCGCAGATATATAGTATATGAAATTACAATTTCCGGTGTAGGCTCGATAGTCGTCCTGGAACTTTTCCTGACTTTGAGACGACTGACTAGCTTGGGCCATCTTGAGAAAATGTATGATACGATCCCTATCGTTCAGCTTATTTTCCTCGTGCGGTAACCGGCAGTAGACCCAGTCGGGTACAACTTTCCATAGAGACCCACCGAAATCTCTCTCGATATCTATTTCGGGGATCTCCAACATTCCTTTGACAGTATGAAGACCATAATCGGGCAAGGCTATGCCTAAACTAAAGGGAGTTCTCAGCAGGGTAGTAAAGAAATAATGATTCGTTCTGAGTTCGATTCTCCTCTGAGGTCATGATTAATTTCGCGTATTTCGTTATAAAATAAATAAATAAAATTAATTGAGATATAAATTTATTAAAGTTTATAAACGTTAGCGTTACCATAAGCCTTATATTGTAAACTGAAATTTGTCATATTAGCACTTATTTAATAATATGTACACTTGTCAAAAAAATTAAAGGAATTATTATGATTGATGAAACTGAATCCTAGTAAACTCCGAATGGATTCATAATTATACAAAACCATAGACTTAATAAGTAATAAAATAACCCGTCTAATTTAAAAACATTGTTTTATTTTCTATTTTTTTAAATTTTACAAATAAACATTTCTAAAAAAAACGTTCATTGACAAAAATTGAACGCGCTCACGTTCAAGTTCACTTTCAAAAAAGAGGGACGCGTTCACGTTCATGAACCCTTCAAAATTATGATAAATTTTTTTTAAAATTTTTTAATATAAATAAATGTCTTATATTTATTAACACAATATTAGCCATGTTAAAAAATAATATAGTTTTATTTTAATATAATTATAAATTCAAAATAATATATCAAATAAAAAGATATTTTTATTTATAAAAAATTTTTCTTATTAATTTTAATAACAATATTTTTCAAAATTATCATCTGATAGACAAGAACGCTTGGCAGTTAATACGGCATATGCTATACTAAAAACGCGCTCAAGGGTAGAGGTGATTGCGGTATTATACTTAATAAATAACTCTTTTAACGTGGGGAATTTACTAAAAACATTTATTGTTTTGTTATTTGCTTCAAAAAATTGAGATAAGTTATCCTCCTCCAATCCATTCTCCACTTCCTCGACAAAAAAAAGGATATCTCGAAATTAACAGTTCTTGCATTATCATTTCTAGTATTTTCTAAGCATTTTTTTTAATAACGCTATAAGTTTATTTTTAATAGGTGAGTTCTGTGGAAGTTTTATCCATGCCCATTGAAACTTGAATAGTGGATATATAATCGAAGAAAGAACATATTGATCTTCATATATATGTTCAAATCTTTAAAAAAAATAAAATATATGTAATTAATTGGGAGTGATAGGTTTAATACCTTTTATTAATCCCATTTAATACGGCGTCTATCAATGGTTGACCATATTTGAGGCCACTAAATTTTTTTAATTTTAAAATAACTATCGTTATTGTTGGGATCAAATATCCCAAATGCATTTTTTCTTCAAATTTAATGATTTTACTTAGTTATATTATATTATATAAAATAATTAATATTAAAAATGTCGTTTTAAATTGGAACCTGAAGATTTTGACAATATAGTACTTTTTGGGCACATTTTACACTTAGGCATTGAATTAGTTCCTTCAATATAGGATGTTACTGTAAAACATTTATCATATTTGGCCATGGCAATGTTAATTCATCTGATTTTTAATTTTCAGAATCAGATGATTATGATAAAATAATAATATTCATGCTTATGCTAATCTATTAAATTAAAATATAAACAATAATATTCAAATTAATAAACTATGTGTTAAAAAAATTGAAATGTGAAAATACGCAGCCGATTAAAAAATATAAATAATACTTTTTTAAAAAAAATTCGGAAATATTAAACTTTTCAAATAAATAAAAATAAAAAGTATTTTTTAAATTGAACGAACGTTAAATTCGAACGCGTTCGTCATAAAAAAGGAACGTGTTCACACTCAAAGTTCGTCAAAAATAAAAGGAACGCTGTTCATCATTTTATTCAAAAAAACGAACTTCGTTCATGTGAATGCGTTTACAACACTGCTCTGATGGATGAGATGGGGGGGGGGGGTTTCATGCCCTAAACATAAGTGAATTAAACATTCTTAAATTAAATATTTTTACGCAAAAATGTCATTAATCTGTCCAAATAACATGTTGGCCATAAAATAAATGATGTAAATATCCTAATAGATTGGCGATGCATTCATTAAATGCATATTAAAGTGTCCATCACATAAGAGGTGGCTGTAGCGCCACTTACATGTCGCTTTAAATGACATTTATGTGCATTAATATAAAAATTAATAAGGACGATTTGTCGAAGTGTAAACCATTCTATGTGTGGACATTTTTAATTAATGAAATGCCAATCTAATAGTATATATATATATATGTACATAGTTGCATAAAATATAAATTCGTTATTTTTAAACTCAGGGTTTCGGTGTTTTATGCCTGTCAAGGCCTAAAACGAATTATTTGTTATTCGAAATCCAATTCGATTCGAAATTTCGAATAGAATATGAATGATGAGGAAAACAATTCATCGAATAGTAAACCTTTTATTATTCGAAATTATTCGTATTATTTCAAATTATTGAAGATTATTTATAAATATTAGTAATTTTTCGTTAAAATTTATTTTGTCGTTAACATTCGTAAATCGTAAGTAAATAATAAAAAAGATTCTGTATTCTATTTTGATGTTTATAAAATGGGATCATTGTACATTTTTTGAAAATTTTAATAAAATTTGAATATTAGATTGAGGAAATAATTTAGATATTTTTATAAGCAATTCTAATTCTAAAAATCGGGTGTTTTGACCAATTTGTTTGGATAACGTTATATGAAATCATTGGGTTTTATTTCGTTTATTTTCTGTAAATTTTGATATACCAATGACAATTAGTTTAGAGAATCCTTAAAAGCGTCATTTTAAAACATCCACATCTGTTTACAATTTTATTTACTTTTTATAAGCTTTAGAAAAATTTTCGAATTGAATCGAATAATAAATTATTAGAATCGTACTGATACGAATAACGCAATTATTCGATTCGATTCGTTTTTTTGTAGGCCTAATGTCAAATAATTACGATTATATATATTTCTTTAAATAAAATAGAAAACTAAATGAATATTATTGTTTTAAAAAAAATTTCTATAAAATGCTAGTCGTTCAGAAATAATTAACAAAAATTAGTTCCCGATACAAATGTGTTCTGTTTAAATTATAATTAGTTCAAAGGGGTGGGGATAAAGAAATTTCCAAATATACGGTCGATCTTTTCAATTTGATACCAGTGGCCGATATCCCCCAAAACGATAATTAACCCTCATCATTTAAAAAAAAAAATCCACAAGCTATGAATTTATATATTTTTTTTAAAAAAATCTCTTTAAAGATTTTTAAATCGATAAGAAAGTAAGAAACAAATAAAGGCGCTTTTAGTTTTTTTTTCTTTTTTCTATTTCTTTTAAATTTTTAAAAATTTCATAAATTTACAAAATAAATGATATTATTGATGAATTATATATTCTCTTTTTATTAACCCCTACAACTACTATCTCTAATAATATTTTTCTTAATATCAGATATCGGCCGGTAGCGTATTTGGCATCTCTATGTCGCTGGTAATTTCTTAATTTTTTTTGTAAATTTTATTTAATTTCTCTTTTTTTTAAAAAATAACATACAATACCATAAGGTCAAAAGGCATTTTAACGTCCATCGTAAAATTTGCGGTTTTTTGGTCTAACATTTCTTTCCTAAGCTTCATGTTGTAACTGCGCCCATGAGGATTTTCTTGTTCGGAAAATTCGACCTCGGATAAATCCACGCTATTATAGTTAGGTTTGATATTTTTTCCATACTTTTTTTTTAAATTAAAAAAATTCATTGTTTAATTAAATCAACAAAAAATATGCTTTAAAAAACGTTATAAGAGAACCAACAATAAAACAAATACTGTCAACAAAAAAACAAATGCAGTTTTTTTAAAACCGAAAGAAAAAACGGGTGGGAAAAAAGATTTTAAGTGATTTTTACCATGGGTCTTAAATCAGGATGAAACAGAATATAGCCATTGTTCGTAATCGCGAAAGGAAACCCATTTGGTCCTAACTATATTAAGAATATTATAATATACTCTATGCGTCGTATGGGATTTCAAAATCCAAATGGGGATCAGGTATTTATCAATTTTTAATCATTTATCGATGGGAGCTATACCCCCCCCCCCGGCTGCTTGGTTGTAATCATTAGGGATATTATAACAATCGGATGCCTTTTCTGATATCAATCCTTTTACGTGATTACAACCCGGTCGAGGAGACGGTGATTATATTTTAAACCCAGACCATAAGGAACGTTTTAAACCTCAATTAGGAGCGAGAAGTCGTTGTCACTCCCCCACCGCATTGAGATTGAAGGTAGGATTTTGGAATTTTTAAATTTGAAAAGTCTGATATTTTTACTAGAACATTTACTCAAGTATGTGAATAGAAATAGAGTAAACCTACCCTATAAATTTTTGGATATTTTCGAGCATGAAACATTAATATAAATTCAATTTTAAAAGAGTACTTCAAAATTTTACCTTCAAATTTGTTAGAAATTCCTAAGGGGTAAAAGGTATAACTTAATCTATAGTTTTTTACATGAAATAAATTTTCAATAAAATCAGAATTTTGAAATTTCAAAAAAAAAACGGTAAATAAATTCCGAATGTCTATGGATTCCGTGAACCCCCACAACCCCTCATTCATATTAGCGTGAATTCGCGGCGAATTATAAAAAATACGGATTTTGTATTCTCGGTCACGAATTCGCGCTAACTGTGAATGCGGGGTAATACATATTATTATATTTATTAACGTAATATCAGTAAAGTCGTAAAAATTTATAAAATTTTTATTTTAAAGTGGGGAAAAGGATTAAAAACATGATCGGTAAAATTGAAAAATGTTAATCATGACTTTTATAAATAAGAGGAGCTCTTGAGGCCACTGCATATTTAATATAATTAAATAATTTTATATGAGCACATCGTAAATAAACCTTGTATTGCGGAGTCAATTTTATGAGTTCCTCGATGGGAACGTCGGTTCCCATCACACCTAAAAGATTGCCTTCTCCGTACTATAAAATAGTTTTTTAATAGTTAATGCCACATTTACAAAAGAAAAATAAATTATGATTGATATTTTAATATTCAATACATATAATACCGAGGCGTTTTTTCTATCAAAAACGGGTTGGGCTACTGACGTCATTAATCTAATCGTCTTAGTTAAATAATAAAAAAATATTTAAAATACACAGTTTTGTAATATTAGGGATTAAATTTAAATTATAGTTTGGATAAATTGCTCTATTTTTATTTCCCCTCCCCCCCCCCTTTTTAGCCAACTAAAAAAATGGCTAAAACTAGATCTTTTTTAGGGAAAATAGTTCAACTGTGAAGAAAGCGGAAGTATATTAACTCGCGTTCCAGTGTTTAGCAGATTATTTCGGCATGCGTCTAAAGATCTAACCGAATTAGCCATTTTTTAGAAATTACCCAACTATGCTTAGGACGAATAGGATTATAGGCAAATTTATTATAGATTTTTATGCACATATTTATAACTCAAAAAAAAATAATTAAAAAAATGAATTAAAATCAAGGAAAATTTACATCCATATCACTGTCCATTTCTTCCTCCAAAAGGTTCAACCAATTTTTAGTTTTTGGATCCTTAAATGTATAAATTAGTAAAATTAAAACAATACATATTTAATTTATTTTAATAATTAATGTACCGCTTTCGTGTGATAAATTCCTGTCCAAATTGTGACGTGTTCTTGCTCTATAACCATTGGACGACTAATAACTTTAATATATTCCTTTTATTTAAAAAATAATAATATTATTTTTGAAGTAATCCATTGGTATTTACAAAAAAAAATGTCTATATTATACTTGAACATTTTCTTGAACATCTGCCAGGGTAGCGATGTGAGAAAAACGGCCTAGAATATATGATATTTAAAAAGTGTTCATAAAACACTATAAAATATTTGTAATTTTAAGGTAAAATTTGATCAAAAACCCTGTGTGAACATTTCCAAATAAATATTTATTTAAAAAATCTTAAAAGATCATGTTTAGAAGATCATTTCAAACACTGTTTAAAGTTAATAAAATGTCTCATAAAATGTTTTTTTAAAAAAATCATAAAATTGCTTTTCCAATCGCTGTTTGATATTTGAAAGAAGAAAAAAAAATAACCTTTATTATTGCAAGACATCCATCGCAATTGGCCATTATCGGTAGCTTCCCTCCCAATCAGATACGTAAAAATGCGTACCTATTTTATGTTTAATTATTACAAAAATTTATATTAAGAAAGATAATATTTTTAAAAAATTAAACGCGTTTATTAGGGTTATACTCCACGAATAAATTTTCGTACGTTTCCGGTGCGCCATCTGTGATGATCATGATGGCTTGGTTACAATTTGTTCCTCTATTCTGTTCTCTGGTCTAATAATAAAAAAAAATGGTTGAAATAAATGAATATAAATATATTCAAAAATTGTTTTTTTTCAAATGATTCAAACTGTACCTAAAATCATTTATATATAAAAATCAATTTTATAAAAAAAAGATATTGTGTCATCTGGACCAAGAAGATTCATATGGAGGGATTCTTTTAAATGTAAAATGGGGATTCCTAAAATGACAAGATTTTAATTCTTGTATCAAAATAAACCAAAAACTAAGTTTAGAAACCAGAACCGAGTAATTACCTAGAAAAAAAATTGAAAATCTATTTTTAAAAAAAATGCGGTTCTATATTCTTGAGGGCCTTCGGTTTAGTAATTATTTCCTTAAATTCATTTATAAATTTACGGGCTTTAAAAATGGTAATAATTTATTTGATAATTTATTTTAAATCAAAAAAAATTTAAAAATATCCTTTTCAACCAGAGTTAAAAAAAAATTTTGAGACTTGAAAAATTTTTATTTAAAAAAATAATTTTGCTATTTTTAGGTAAAATTTGATCAAAAATCTCGTGCAAACAAACTTTTTGATAATTTTTTATATAGTATTTATGTTTTGTTCTGTGATCAGAACCTTAAAAAAATTCAATAACATAGCCTAAAATCTAAATGGTTTCTAATCTCTGGATTAGAGAACCTTATTAATACTATAGTTAATTGAAGAAATGGAGAATTTTTTTTACAGAATTTAAGAGTTCAAACGCTTTGATTAAAGCTACATCGAATCGCGCTATCTCTTTGGTGTATACGTTTTCCAATTGCTCTTTAATTCTCTATAATATATATGTATAAAGAAAAATTATTAGTTAAGTATTATATAAAACAAAGCCATATTATAACATATATTTACATTTTTGTTATCCTCGTTTCCCTGAACTAAGGTATTATTGAAGCAGCCTTCAACGAAAATAGATTCTCCGGTAAACTGCAGGAAAGGATGAAAAAAGAATGAATTTTTATAGTATAGTATAAAACATAAAACTGAGACAAGCACACTAGTAAAAAAAATCCGGTTGGGGGTTGCAGGAAAAATCATTATATGATAAAACATTTAAGCATTCATTCGTTTAAATATTTTCAGATATTTAGCTAGCGATTTATTGATCATGTATTCACATCTTATATTTCTTATTTTCTTAAAAAACGCGTATTTCTCAAAAGTTAAATTTTTTTTCCGTTCTATTGTTTCTTTATTCGAATAAATATAACTAATATATTATATTATAAAAAGGGAAAGACATAGCGAATTACTTTTTTTAGTGATATTGTTAAAAATAACGATTTGGGTTGTAAAAACGGCCCTATTAAGATTTTATCCAAAATTATATTATGTGAGCCTGGAGGTTTTAATCATATATAGGAGAAGTTTGAACCTAAATTTGCCTAATCTCAAGGCTTACATGATATTAATTTGGCTAAATTCCTTATCGACCACTTTTAAAAATATCCAACTCGGGCTTTTTATCAACATTACTTTAGACTTAAATCCAAAATATCAAAAAATACGCGCAAACTTTTGAAACTTTATATTTTTTTAAATATAAAAATAAACATATCCAAAATATAATTCTAAAATTTAACATAACGATTTCATTTAAATTTTAAAACTTTAGAATTTTTTAAAAAAGATTCTGGACTTAAAAAAAAGAAGTCATTTTATATTTTGGTTACAAATGAATATTCTTTTATTTTTTTTTGTGGTAAATAAAAAAAATTATATCAAAATAATTTTTAAAGTAGTATTAAAAATTAATATTAATTTATTGTTTTCTTCTATTATATATAAATATATATTATTAAAATGGTTTAATAAAAATCTTATGCCTCAATAGCGAAAGTAATTTTGTGGATATATATATCGCCATCAAATTGTGTGCTACAAAATCATTACCCTATTTTCGATTTTCCCTTTAAAACTATTTACAAAATAAAATGGCCAAAATTATTTAAAAGAGCCAACGTGTAGTAGAAAAAATATATAAATAAATCCGGGAAGATTCTTTGCTAATCTATGAATTTTTCATTACAGTATTTATTTTAAGACAAAATGATACATATAAAAAGTGGAAATTAAAGTGTTAAGGAAAATAGAGTTATTTATGATAAATACAAGTGGGGAAATTTGTATTTCTTTCGGTCTACAACATGCTAAGATAATAGCCATTTTTCATTTTTTAAAAAAACAACAACTCCTAGTGCAGCACCAGCAGAGAGAATAATTATTAATTTCCTTCTAAAAATTAAAAATACGAGGGTAAGTTATAGTGAAAATAGTTTAGAAAAGTATTAAATTATAAGCTAATTATACGAATATTTAGCATTTGTACAATAATAAATAAATAAAATATATGTCCGACCGTATACCTGTAAGACATTGAAAAAATCATCGTCACTCAGTGTGTTCATTATAGTTTCGATAGTAAGTTTCGCGATTTCGATTCTTAAACCGGTCATGCTTCCCGATCCGTCTAACAAGATGACTAGATCTTTTGGCGATGTAGCTGCTTGTATATACCTTCAGTTTTTTTTAAAATAAAAACACATGAAACAAAACTTTTGATATTAAATTTATATTATTATTATAATCAACCCTTAGTTATTAATTTAAATTTTTTTTATAAATTGATAAAAATATACAAATAAATAGAATTTGTAGGACATTAATTTCTGGAACGCTATTATTTATATAAAAATTTATCTTTTTCCTTCCTATCTTTCGGAAGGTTTTCTTTAATAAGTAAAATGCTCGATTACCCTTAATATAACTTTAGGATAATTTTCTCTTCTTATTAACCTATAATAAAGTCAGACACCATACTGTCCTGTCCTAATTTATCTTATCATTATTAATTCAAAAATATAAGAAGAAAAAAAAATACTTTGCAGATCATCTACTCATGATTTTTTAATTAACGACCAAGATCCTTTTTTTTATTTATCATATAATTTCAACCAATAACTTTAAAATTCTTCCTAACATCTTAATAGCAGCACAATTCCTATGATTTTCTATTCATAATCTTTTCCCTTTCCTTACTAGTACATAAAATACAAGGTAGCATTAACTTTTCTACATTTATAATGATTAGATGACTTTCTATCTTCAATACTCAACAAAGATCTAAACATTTTGAAAAGTCAATAAACACCGTTTAATTTAACAGTAACACACGTGATAGGAGCAAATAAAAAGCGCGCGTCACCTGTTGAGTTTTTCCATTCTTCACTTCCGCATAAAATAACCACCCTATTTTTACTGAACCTCACCCAATATCAAACAATTCTCATAAACCACTATGGTACTTTTTAAATCTTTTAAATATTTATCTATATTTATATTTATTAAAAAACGCAAGATTTATATTTAAAATAAAGGAAAGTATATTGTTATTATACCAATCTTTAACGCGGCAATCGTATAAATCAATATTCGATTTATCAAGTTCCCATTTTATACCTAAAAAATGAAAAATTAAATATCATTAAATTATTACTATATTTTTAGCCGGCTAAAAAAAATCGGATAAACAAAGTTTTTAGATAAAATTCTTTGGGTTCTTCTTAAAAAGATAGCAGTTCAAATTTGGGAAAAACTAATATAATTATAACGCCTTAATTTTATCTTCGACAAGTGCCTGAATATTGAGCCGAATTAACCGATATTTAGCCATTACTCAACTATAGTACTTGGACCGAAAAACAATATTTTTTTTGGCCCCTTTCGAAAAACAGTAAAAAATAATAATTTATTATGAGTAAAATAAAACTCTGGTTATATGTTGTGTCTGATATAAACCAAGCCAATTCCAATATTGTCACTATCGGTATAGGCTGATACTTTCCATTTTGACCGATTTTTATTTTAAAAATTTAATCTATATCAAACCAGAATAAAAAAATTTCTAAATTGATAAGAAAGAAAAAGGGGGCTTCCCAGGATCATAATTATATTTAATGTCAAATTATAATTATACCAATACGAGATTTCGAAAAGATATTAAAACTTTTGGATTCTCAATTATTTAAATTTCTATTCGTCTATTTACAATTACATGACCTATCATATTTAACAGGTTATTAATAAAACTGATTAAATATTATTTATTTTTAAAAAAAAAACCATTTATAATATATCCCACCCCTTAACCCATATCTCTCAAACCCTTAATTAATCCTATCCCATACATTCTAAACCTTTAAATCCTACTCCTTACTTCAGATACTTGTTCAAATTTAAATATATCACATCCAATTAAAAAAAATTCCTTGTGTTTGAGCCTAGTTTTGTTAAACGGCTCGATTTTTAAAAACGGCATACCCAATATTTAAGCCAACAAATAAATTAAGCAAGCTTTTTTTGTTAATAGATGATCAAGCCATTCTACTATCTAAAAGCAAAAATCTCCAGGCTTGCATTATATTTTTGACTAAAATATCGGGTTAGCCTTTTTTTTTAAAATAGAAGCCGTTTCCCAACACTAGTTGAGTCATTATCAAACTATTGCTAAATCGATTTAACAAATTAAGACATTTTTTTAAAAAAATTAAAAAAGAAAAAAAAAATTATTTTATTTTTGAAAAGGCGAGGATTTTTTCCGATAATTTAAATCCTTTAAAATAAAATCAAAATATTTTTTTTTATTATATATTTTTAGAAAATATAAATATGATCGATTTTAATTTTTGAAAAAAAAAATTGGTTAAATTAAAAGATTTTTTTTAACACTTGGTCACGTGACACTTGATCTCGCATCATAATAGGAGAGCGGGTTGGGTAAAGAAGAAAAATTTTTAGCCAAAAAATGTACCGCTAAAAAAGGGATGGTTTTAATTTGACCTAACCCTACCCCTTATATTTCTTAGTAACTCCACTCCTGGTCATTGAGTAAATCTATTATAAAAACTAATTTTGATTTTATAATTTTTTTGTTAAGACTTTATGAATACGGAAAATTTATTAAACGGCTATATTTAAATAGAGGTGTTCTAGCAAAAAAAATTGAACAATATTTTAAATTTAATATTAAATGCATTTATTTAATATTGTTTCCGACTCAATAATAATACGTTTACCTGGCAATTCTTTCGCTAGGACATATCTTAATAAAATAAAATATCAGACTTTGGAGCTAAAACCTAAAAACGCAAAACTAAGAATAAGATAGGGAATCTCCCATTTAAAATTTTCAGGAAGTAGAGACCTTCATATGCGCCGACCCGCAGGAATGTCATATTTACTAAAGGGCTTGAGTTTTTTTTAATGGACTTGGGCCTAGAATTATTAAATTTAAATTTTACTTATTTAAGACAGTTGCTACTTTAAAGAAACATATTTTTTTTCTTCTAATAATAATAAAATGATTGCCTAAATGCACTTCATTATTGTTTATTTTTATTAAAAACAAGAAATTCATTTTTTTGAATATGGGTTTGGACCAGGCTTGGAATTTTTTTTTAATATTAGATATGGGCCGGCCTGGAGCTAAAAAAAATTTTATTGCAGGCCTGAACCGGGCTTGGGCAAAACTTAAGGCCCATTAAGGTTTCTAGCTAGATTCCTTAAAAATAACTATACAACTATTTTTATTAAAGATTGGCGCCACCCAGGCGGGGAAAAAAATTTATGGCTGAGCCGGACAAATTGTTCAAAATATTTTTACGGGCGGGCAAGTTTTAAAGATGTTTCCTTAAAACTGATAATAGGGTAAATTTAAGCCGTTTGCCTTTATAAAAAATTATTCAGGCCATGGCCGGAAACTTCTAGGAAATATTATTAAAAGCGGGGGGCAGAAAAACCTGGCATAAAATTTTTACATGTCAGTTGGGGCCGATCCCTACTACTCAGATGCGTAGTCAGGAATTTTCTACACGGGGAATAATTTTTTTATATTGAAATGACTTTTTCTGGAGCATTAAAAATTTATTAGAACTAAACTTATATAAAACTTATTAGAATTAATCATATTATAAAAAAAAATGATTTCGAAAACAAATAATAAAATATTGGAAAATACAACATATTTAAGAACGTATATAATATTGTTAAAAGATATTATAGCTATTAAAGTGTAAATCACAGTAAAATATAGAGTAATATATTATATGATGATTTAAAAAGTTAATCAAAATATTGTTCATAAATGAAAATTTATCTTCTTTGAGATTGCCCCAATTTTTCCATCATTTTTTCTATGTTGGGGATTGGATCTCGATGTATATTAAGTAAAGCTAGTCCATTCAATCAATTTTAAGATGTACCTTTGAGATAAATATCAATCCTTGTAATGTAGAAAAGGTCCTTTCATTTGTGCTTGTTCTAATTGGTATTGTTTCCAAAATATACAATACAACACTAAACTAAGGGTTATAATATTTTAAGGTCAATAATTTTTATTATTTTTAATTGTGCAAGTATATATCCATCCAATCCAATAGGTAAGTAATTAAAGGGGAAAAGATAATTTTTTGCCTCAATAAAGCTCAGCAAACACCTCCGAACTTCGATTCAAATTGGGTCTGGCTTGACCAGAGCTTAAAAATTTAACAAATAGGTCAAGATTAGAGCTTATTTTTTTAAAGGAATAAAATCGGGCGCGGGCCATTAAAAGAAATAACATATATTCTTTTAAAAAATATAAAATGATCTTTCGTTAAGATAAAATGATAATCAGAATTTCTCTAGAATTAATTAAAAGCACACCAAAAAAAATCATATTAATATTTATTCTGTGATTAGAAAAAAATTATATCGCAAAAATTCAAAATTCTTGCCATATGGCACCGGTTTCCCCTAATCAAGAAAATATTCGTGTTCGAATAAACTATCGTGCCTATAGTGATAACGCACTGACAAATCGCTAAAACGTCCTGGATAAAAGGTATTTAAGCCTCAATTTTGGAAGAAATAAAAAAAAATTATTATATTTTTTTAAAGGAATTTTAAGCAATTTTTACAAATGCTATGTCGACTGATAAAACGGATATCAGATATCTGCAAGGCTCAGCCCGCCTATAGCCAAGTCAGCGGATCTGGCTAAAAAATTGAGCCAAGCAACTTGGGTAAAATATCTTTTGGGCCGAGCCATTTGATCAACACCACCTTGTAAAATGCCCTAACTCTTGTATTCTATCATATATTACACTAAATTTACAATGTGAGATACTCCTCTTGATATTTGGGACCCAATAAATACGCCGCATTGTGTAATGTGTATTTATATCTTTTTTTCAAGCATATTTTTAATTTTTTTCTTCTTAATATTTTTTAGAGTATTTGACCGAATCAGGTAAAATACTCCTTTGGTAAATTGACTGAATTTGACCGGCCAATACTATGCCTTAAATATTACCATAAATAATCGCTTTATTTCATTTTTGAATATATACTGTAATAACAGATTTATGTTCCGAAATATTTTATTCCGCAATTTTTCTTTTTTATAGATTTTTATTGCCAAATCTTTCACCCGGTAATTGATTTTCCCTACAATTTTTTTTCCCCGTGTTCCCGCGATTCGATAAAGTGGCAAGTGATATAATACATGATTAGATAGGAAATTTATAAATTTTTTTTTTAAAAAAAGTGAAAAATAAAGGTATACGTATTTTATATAATATTTCATTTTTTTTAAAAACTAAAACTTTTATTAGTTATACACTTTTCGAATAGGATATTAGTGTCTCCTTTTAATATAAAAAAGTCAATAAATGCCTTTTCGTTAAAATAATATATTTCTAAACCTCAATAAGATGAAAACTAATTAAGTTTTAACCAACATAGAAGGGATTATCTTCTTTGAATACGAAAGCTAATTTATGGCTAATTATAAAATTACATTAAAATAGAGTTGTTTTTTTTATATTTAAATTTAAAGATATTTACATTTATTTAATCTTGATAAAAATAAGTATAAAAGAGAAAGCCTATTAAAAAAATAAAATGAATAATTTCCAAAAAAAGCAACATATTTCTAGGGCTTAGAGCAGGGACTTCTAAACCCACCTAAGCCAATGATGATTTTACACCCTCCATCCTTCTTTTTAAAATCCTACCCAAATCCAAACTACCTCCCTGTCTCCATCTAATTTTATTCAAATGACGATAGCGTTGTCATAACTGATCTGATCTCACACACTTTCCCTTTTTTGGAATAAGGAAAACAAGATTGTATACAGGGGTTCAAACCAAACCTGAACCTGGTAAAGAAAATCCGGGCTTTTGGGAAAAAATTTGAAGCTGAACCGAACCTGAACCCCGTTTATAAAATTTTCAAAACCCTGAACCGAACCCAGGAATTTTATTTGAACCCGAGTTCAACCGGGTTCAGTGTATTGTTTAAATTAATATAAGATATTTGTATAATTGTAAATATAAATATTAATAATTTACTTGACATTTTATAATATTTTCAAAATTTCCAATTAAGTGAAATGTTAATAAATTTTAAACAACTAAATTCATTTACTCCATTTTTAAATTTTTTTAAATTTATTCTCAAAGATTCCTATAATCTTTAACTTATTCTCAAAGATTATTAATTAGTGGCAAATGAAAGTGAACAAATCAAAGTAAAAATTATTATATTGGATATTGTTAATTTGAAGAAATACGTAAAAATAAAATTTTTTAAATCTATACATGACTATGCTTTGTATTTTTAACTATATTTTGCTTATAAATAAAATAAAAAATTTATTTTTTATACCAAATTTATGTCTAATTTTCTAATTATGATTTAAATATAGAATATTTTTTTATCAATTCAAAAATTCCTAAACCTTAACTGAACCCGGAACTAAACCCAAGTTCAAAAATCTTTCCCTGAACCAACCCTGAACCAAACACATTTATTTTTTTAACCTTAGAACCCGAACCGAACCAGGGCAAAAATTTTGCTGGGTTCGCATCCCTGATAGTATATGTATCTCAACTGATTTAAATCTTGATTATTTTTTTAAAACCAATTAAATCAATAAAATATATATTTAGTAAAACCCATAAAATTAGGGATGAAATTTCTTCATTGTTAAATCTGTGTAGTGACTTAAATTTTCATAAAAAAATAGCAATTTATTATATCATAGTAATAGTAATAGAAAATAAATATTATGCCAGAACATGGTTGAGATATCAATCGATGATTTAAAATTTTAATAAATATTTTTAAATCTAAAAATTAGGATTGTATCTTTAATTTTATGATAAATAAATTTTGACAAAAATTTTATTATAAGTATTTATGAGTGGCACTATATTTATTATAGATTAGGGGGAATAACATTAATGGGAAATAAATACTTATATATTTTTCATCAATAAGATAAGCATTGGGTGGGCAAGGGTGTTGTAGAACTAAAGTAATAAATATTTTAAAATACATTCATATTTGATAGATTATTTTAAAAAATTTTTAGAGTTCTGTTTTAATATTTTTACCTGGAAACATTCTAAAAAAGCCTGTTTCACTGCCAAAATATTGCCATATCAATGTTCTGTCTCTATTATAGTTATCAAAAAAAACTTTGTTCAGTTTATCTGACCATGCAATATTATTGAGCACCTCAATATCTTTTTTAAAATAATAAATAATATAAGGAAATAATCAAACCTTCATTATATACATTTGTTGGTACATGTATAGTGCTATATGTTAAGTTAATTGGAATATTATCAAATTGTTCATGTGGTTTAAATATCATGGTCATTTTTCCTTCAACATTTTGAACCGAGTTTGCATCCAAAACTTCTTTTGCATTATAATATGAAATCTAAAATGATATTATACAATAAATAATAAATATAAATCAATACATTAATATTTGAATCATTAATGTGTTCCTTATAAGCTTCTTCTGCTGTATCTACTAATCGCTATATAAAAATATAATGCTCATAATCAACATATAATGTTCACTTTAACAGTTTCAACTTTTGATTGTAACATAACTTCAATACGATTTGCCATAGTTTGAACAACATCTAATCCATCCAGTTTAATAACAGTTGCACCATTGTCCATAAAATTCTGCACATATACACATATATATTAAAGATAAAATAACATTTGAACTTTGGTTATTTTTTCTAAAGCAGTAGCTTTTGCAGAGATATCATATATATTTTCACCAAATTTTTCAGCCCATTCTTGAACTCTTAAATATTTTAATTAGCTATTAAGCAAACTTTAACTTACAATATAGGCTTAATCGTTTGAGTTATGATATATAATTTATTGCTATAAAGTATAAATATAATTAGGCATTTTATAATATTAGAATGGCAAAATTTCTTGATAAATAGCATTAGAAACCATATGGTATAAAAGAATACCTTCTACAAATACATCTATAGAGTGCTAAATCCTGACCACTACAAGAGAGTATGATTTCCATTCCACGATCAATATTTAATTTTGTCAAAAAATTAATTTTAATTATAGTAAAATCTGGTGGTATAGGTAAGGATTATCAATTAATGAATCAGGACTTAACATGCATTCCATTTTAAAAATATTTTAATATTTCATTTATCATTGTTTATTACATTGTTGTTTAAACTTATTAAATCATTCCTTTTAAATTAGAAAGCAGGATCAGATTTAACTGCGTTTGGCCAGCAGAAACAACTGGTGCGAAAAAAAATGGAGCCCAGTATAAAGTGTTTGTTAGAAAAATAAAAAACTGTGTCCTATGTCGGCTTAATATTTAATAGCCGGTTTTAACCAGCTTTTATATATCGGCGAATAGCTAAAAATGTAAGAAGAAATTAAGATTTTAAGCATAACACTCATTTAATTTAAATAACATTGTACAGTTTTAATAAAATTAATATGGGAACTCGTAAGGTCAGTTTTTCTTGATTACTTATTGAATATTTTATAGATATATTTTGCATAAATAATGCAATCATATAAAATATAAATTACTAATATATTTTATTTATTTGATATCTTTCTTGTGAATCAGCATAGAGCATAGTTTAGCATTAATAATTCATGAAAATTATTTCCTCTACTTTAAGCAGTGACGAAATTCTTAAATAAACTTAATATAATCTTTAGAATATGTTATAAACAATGATATAAGAGACAAATCTGACTTCGTTTAAAAAATATATATAATTTTTGTCACGTTAAAAATAATTAAAGAAGAATTACTATTATTTTTACTAAGTTATAAATTCTATTATTTTTACGATTAAAAAAATTACTATTATTTTTATTACATTAAAAATTTACTAATATATTTACTACGTTAAAAAAAATATAATGAGGTAAGCAAATTTAATATTGCTTATTTTTCTTAATAAATAAAGCGAAAATCATGCGAATGTATTGTGTAATTTTACGTTTAAAAAGTAAGCATTGGGAAAGTAAATAATAAAATGCTTATGAGTATATGATAGAGATATGGTGATTGATGTTGGAGAGTGTTGTGTATTTTTTAAAATGAATAATGTTATTTTTATTATTATTATGTTTGAAGGAAAAAGGAAAAAAAAGAGTGATTTGAATTAAAAAATATTGGATTTAATTGTAAATTAAATAAAAGAATTATATTTTTATACGAAAGTTTTGAATTTATTTTAAATTGAATAAAAAATTATTGTTTTTGTATGAAGAATTATTCTATTGGAATTCCGCCCGAGGAACCATAAATTCCACATTTTATTTCATTCTAACTAAAATATATAATGATATATAAAAGAGAAAAATATTCTATATTATATTTTTTAATTTTTTTTTTTATTTTTTAAATATTTTTTTTTTAAAGCAATAATTATTGTTTAATAATTCTAATTATATTATTGAAAATTTATTTAAGTTGTATAAAAATATCATATAAAGCTTTTTTATCTAAAAAATAATTCAAATGCAAATCTCATATATTATGAGCATATAATTTAGATAAATATATATTATAATGTAAAGGAATTTATAAATCTTTGCTTAGCCATTACGGCCATCAATTATAGACAATACCATTGTTGCACAAAATTATTTTAAGCAAGTAAATTTATTTAAAATTTTGTAAAATTAATGAATAAATTATAAGCTTAATGTAAAATTTTTTTTTTTAATTTTAAATCTATTTTTGATTTCAATTGAAAAAAACTTATTAAAAAATTTAAAATCTAGTAAAAACTTTTATAATTCCATATTTGATCAAGTCATTCTAAGTTTTTATATTGTTTAATGATTTAAGTTATGAAAATGGAAAGTGAATTAGAATTTATAATATTAATATATATATGAGGTATTGTTATGAATGAAACTTAAAGCCAAAGAAAGAGATTAATAGATACCTATCTATCAAATATTATTAGTTTCACATACGTCTCAAAATAAAGTAAGTAAAATTTTCCCATCTTACTGTTATAAAATTTTTTATAATCAATTTAATTAATAGATACTCAAAGATTTAATAGGAAAGAAGCTATTTATGAAGTTTATGTATATCAGGAATGGTTGAATTATCATGTTTTAATTACACTATAAATTCTCTCGTTTAAAAATTATATGGGTCATTTTGACAGCCATTTTAGCTTATTTGTTTTTTAAATCTTTTTTAATAGTAGCCTAGCTAACCTAAATCTTTTTTCTTCCTCTTACACCATTTCGAACCTATTGAATTTTACAACAATGCTGAGAACGAGAAATTCGCTAAATTAATCAACAGTCAAGAATATATTTACAAAATTGATGATTGCTAATCATGGTTGCTATCATTTGATAAGATGGTTTTATAATATTGCATAGAATTTAATAAAATTAAAGAAGCTATAAGGGTTGTATAAAAACATCAATCATAGGTATATCAATTTGCCTTTTAAAAATATTTTAGTAATATAAACTAAACGAATTGCATCAGCAGAAATAATCCCCCCCCTCCCCCATTCCACATGATATCTCTAAACCCACTCACCAGCTGGTATTAGAAAAATTAGAATTTTTTGTATATTTTATTAATTATCCACAAAACGTACTTTTATTTATTATCTTCTGGCAAACTATAAATAGCATTACCTTTCGTCATGTATATACCTGGTTTTTTAATAAAAATTAACATCCACAGTGAATTATATTCAGTAGTGATGAGAAAATTTTCCCCTTTCCTATCCATTAAATATATTTTTCTGATCTAACTTAATTTCTTAAACCTTACTTTATCTCAATTATAAAATATTTTTCTTCTTCTTATTTTCTACCAAATTTTGCATCTTAAAAAATGTTACACAATTTTTAATTTTCAAACTTATTTTTATTTTTCAATTTAAATAAAAAAAAAGGGATAAGAATGTTTAACAACAAAAAAAATATAATGATCTATTCATTGGGAAAAAAATATATATATTCATATAAAAAAAATAATTCCGTATTTTATTTTAATATTAATTTATTTTACACCAATCAATAACAAACAATATTGAATGCAATATTGTTGATTGGCGTTATCTCTATAATATCTTTTTATTATGCAAGGGTATGTCAATTTTTACAAAAGTTGTGATATTTGTATGAAGTTTTATCACAAGAGTATTTTTTGTCCCAACTTTTGCCCGGATTTTTTTTTAGGAGATTTCTGATTGATTACAACTTTGAACCTTAATAATGTCAAATGTGTATTCATCTTAGTTTATTTTATGAATTATTTCTATCAAATTTCCGATATATTATAAATAAATTCACAGAATCAAATATCATTTTTTATGACTTATATGTTTATACAATTGTCAAAATAATGTTTCTATTTGATATATCTTGTCCAAATTTTTAATTAAAATAGTAAAATTATTCAATAAATAACAATCAGAAATGAAATGCCATTTTTATTTATTAGTTAGTAAATCTGTTTTAGGAATCCCTATAAAGTAATTTATCTAATCTCGTTGGGGCTTGTTGATTAAGTCATGCAATTGGCCCCGAATTTAAATAACTCTACGGCTCTGTCAAAATACGCTTGTAGAATATAAGAAGATTCTAAAAAATAACATAAATAATATTTCTCCTTTTTATCAAAATAAAATGATAATTTGAGTTTTCTTTTGTAGGACATAATTATTAGTGAACTCTATCTTTAGTAGTTTTTACCTATTGGCAAAACCTAGTTTTTAACCAATATTTTTTACCTTAGCCTCAGTATTGAAAAAAATATCAGAAACTATAAAACAATTAATTGCATGCTTAATGTTTATCGGATTTAATTTGACGCACGTCTATAGATCTATAATATACTTTAAAAAATTATTAATTAATAATAAACAATTTTGGTGTTGATAAATCAAATAGTTTTTATAAATAATATTCCAGAGAAGCTTATCTTTAATAAAAACTAGCACATCTTTTAGAAACCAACTAATAAAGTTATATAAATTTTAATCCAAAATTTTACGAAAAATAATAATATATTGTAATTTGCATCTCTTTCATCAATTTAATTATTTTCCTTATTTTTTTAATTAAAATATATAAATTGGACATTTTGTATAATATAAAAATTATGTTAACATATTGAGTTATAAGGTTGTATTGTTATTCAATCCATTTAGCCACACTTATAATTTTCTTAAAAGTTATATATAAAAAACTTATTAGATATAATAAAGAACCTTAAAGTAAAAAAAATTTAAAAATTAATAATTTAGCAACAAATATTATAAAAAACATTTTATTCATTTATAAATTAAAAAATATATACCATTGAATAAAAATAAATATCAATAAAAATAATTAATTATAAACTAAATGTATTATTATATAAAAATTAATAAAAATATGAAGAAATACAAAAAAATACAGATTAGAAATCAATAATTTTAAATGTTTAATCTATATTTCAAATATTTTTTTTTATTGGGTTCACCAAACGGCCGACTTCATGAGTTATTTCAAGTAGGTCATTTGGTAGGGTTTGATCACAGTTAGTTTTTACACAGGAAAAACCGATTAAATCGATTTCAACTCGGGGTGGGGGTAAAAGACCATTTAACAATTCTATGTTAGATTATCTGTTTTTTTGCAAATTTTCTTAATTTTCCTAAAGTGAGATGATCTTAATTCCCATGGAAGAGATTGTTTTTCTATTTTTTTAATATTATAGATTTACAAAATTATATAAAATATATCATTTTTATAGTTGAAATTAGTGATCTACATCGGGCCTAATTTTTCAAGCCCGGCCAGGGCCTTAATTTTTTTAAAAAAGTTTTGCCGGCCTGGCTCGAACCCGAAATTTTTTTTAAAAAAATTTACCGACCCGGCCCGGTCCGGCCCCAATTTATTTAAATATAGAAATTAATTTTTATAATTACTCAAAATAAAAGACATATGTTATATGTCGTTTAGTTTCAATAAATAAAATCAAATATTTTTATTTTACAAAAAAAATATAATATAAAATTGATAAATTAAGATATATTTAAAAAAATTTCCAAGGCCCGACACGTCCCGTCCAGAATTTTTTTAAAATATTAGGCCCAGCCTGGCCCGAATTGTTTAAATATAATTAGCGGGCCCGGTACGGGCCGGACCTAACTTTGCAGATCTCTAGTTGTAATACTTTGCAAACGAAATAGGCTGTCCCAACATCTAAACTATTGAATATAATAGCAGAATTCATTTCATACTTCTTCAAAGCATATTGTTCATCTCGGCTCATTAATAGTTATAATGACTACCGTCGCAAATGAATAATGCCAAGGAACAGAGATATGACCATATTTTGATATGGTGGTACCAGCGTCTACAAGACAGTATATTCACTGGATGCAAACCCCCCTCAAAAATATATATCTACCCCCCTAAAAATACCAAAATGTTATCCATAGATAATTTAAAAATGTAATGGAAAATTTTATAGATTATTATAGCCTACCCCCCATAATGCCTACCCCCTACCTCTTTATAGATATTAGCAGAGTTGTTAAAGTATCTAGATATAAAAATGTAGTATCTGTATCTAGATAGATTTTTTAGAAAGGTATCTGTATCTAGATATTTTTTAGAGGTATCTGTATCTGTTTTAGATACTTTTTAAGATAAATTTTATATACCCCTTTTTTTATTATAAATAAAAATATTTGACTGTAAAATTTATTTTATTTCATCTGTTCACCACTCTTAGATACCTTACTTAAAGGGATTGAGGATAGGTAAATTAATATAATAAATTAAAAATATTTAATAATTCTAGGTTTATTGTGACCTTATTTGAAGATGATAATATTATAGCAACCATGCTCCACCCTTTTTTTAAACTTGATTGGACATGGTTGCAAATGGAAGAAAATCTTAATAAAAAAACAATTGATACAAAGATAAGCTGGTGAATTATCAAAGTTATCAACTGACTGCAAGCAAATAACCTGCTAAAAAAACAAATAATTTAATTTCAGATTTTTTTCAGTACCCTACAGCAGATATAATTTCTAATAATGATTTAAATTTTGATAATCAACAAATTTTAAATAATTTTTTCAAAAATGATTGTAGAGATTTTAGCATTTTTAAAGAATACCCTGATATAAAATTGTTATTTATTAAATATAATACTACAATTCCTTCAATCGCCCCTGTGGAAAGACTATTTAGTGTTTCTAAAAATGTCTTTACAGATAAACGAGGATGCCTAAATGATCAAAATTTTGAAAATATTTTATTACTGAAATCTAATGATTATTTATAATTATTTAACCATATATTTTCATATATTATATTAAAATCATTATTTTAGTTATATTCTGATAAATATTATATCGCGGCAATAAATTTTTTAGCTCATTTCATGAATTTTCACAATATAATATTAATTTAGCTTTATGCAAACCTATAAGAGCATAATAAAAAATGTATCTGTATACAGATTCATTTAAAAATTGTATCTGTATCTTGATAACTTTTTAGACGCTGTATCTGTATCTAGATAACTTTTGAGACTATGTATTTGTATCTGTATCTAGATCCATTTAAAAAGTATCTTTTAACAACTCTGGATATTAGGATGCAAACTGTTCCTACCCCCCCCCCCGCTCATGTAGACACTGGGTGGTACTATTGATGATGTGAGAGGGACCCTTATAATTTTTACTGGAGATTTTTTGGTCCACTTATTGTAGGCTTTTGGCCTTGTAATATTTTAAAAATTTTGGGTTTTCAATTTTTTATTACAAAAATGATTTTTCTATAAAGCTTTTTAATTCATAGTCTTTATTTTATGAGTAACTTATATTTGTTTTTTTTGCTCAATTGTTTATAGTAAAATATTGTTTCAATTTTAGGGGGAGAGATAAATGGGGGAATATTGGGGTACTATATTAGCAAAAAATATATCTACAAGAAATTTCCTTTAGGTGGATTTTTTTCCTCTCTTCCCTGACTGCGCCAAGGAATAATAAATATAAACTATTCAATAGATAATAAATTTATTAATCAATAAAAAAAATAGTACATAATTTTCAAATAATAATTAAATTGATAATATATATTATCATATTACAAGAAATATAAAATATTTTATACTTTTTAAATCAGTAAAGGCTTGCAATATATCTACACCGTTAATTATTCTTCGTTGTCATTATGTTGCAAAGATATTTAATAATGAGATGGTTGGCATTTTTTTTAATGGTATAAACCCATACAACATGTTATTTCCTATTTTTGTATATGCATAATATCACCATAAAGGGTAATGTTTAGTTTATTAATCCATTATAAATAATTAATTTTAATTCATTCATTCATTAATTTAAAATAAATAAATATGCAAAACGGGGAAAACCAGATGTTGAAAGAAAAATTGATAGAAATGCGAAAAAAATATATAGGGTAATATATAAATATATTAAACTTTATGATAATATCTTTATTTAATTTTAAATTTAATACCAATAACCAAATAAAATTAATTATTAGGGATTCATGTGCACTTTTTTATCCTCATGATCCTTTGTACATAGTAAAAGGAAAAGGCACTTATCTCTTTGATGAAAATTATAATAGCTATCTAGATTGCATAAATAACGTTGCAACAGGTTACATATATAAAATATAATATTTAAGAAAATATTACTTGTTTTTTATTTTATCCAATTATTCTTGGTTTGTATCAATTTAAATTTATACAATCAAAATTTGAAGAATCAAATATATTTAGGAAAGCATATTTTAACTATTTGAAGGCACACAGAAAAAGTGCATAATTTTTATTTATGGTAAATTATTTTTATCAATAATTTAAATTTTTTTAAAATAAGTGGCATATGGATACTCCCCCCCCCCTTCCCCAGAGCCATATCAGAAGACATGACAATTTCAAAAAATAATTGAATAAAGGGAAATATTTGATTGACCTCCATTTTTTTAAAGTTTAAATTTTCACATTGGTAATTTTAAAAATAATAAGTGTCATATTATGATTAATTCATTTTTCATATATAAATTTAAAACTTATATAGTAAATTTCTGGATTGCACCAAAACATATAATTTGATAATAAATGTTTTATTTTTTTGTGTTTTTTAGCTAAAACAAATAATGATTCTAAAAAAATGAAACTATTTGTGTTTTTCAGCCAAAAATAGCAATTTAAAAAATATTGTCACCTGAGGATTAGAATATTCTATTTCCACTTTTTATAACTTTATAGAAGAGCATTTTAAAAAATAAGTCCCTATTGTTTTCAATAGGATGGCTAACCTTGTATCAGATTTATTCTGAGTTATTTTATAAATATTCAGATTTTAAAATGTAAATAAATGGTATATATATATATAAAATGATTTATATAATAAAGTAATTTTTGATAGAAAGTACATATAGAATAACTAAATTCTCAGGCGATGATATATCAAATGTAAAAAAAAATTTAGTCAAAAAATATCACAATATAAATCGTAAAAGACCTCCAATATTTGAGCAAAAATTAAAATTACATAATTGAGCATTTATAATTAATAAATATATATTTATACATATATTCAGAATCACCATTACATTTCCAGCTTAATGATGTATAAATTAATATATAATTTTCTTTCAGAAAATAATTCAATTCAAATCAAGAAAATTATGCTAAAAAATATAAATCATATTATATTTATTTGCATTACAAAATAATATAATATATTATTGTTTCTCTTAAATAATTTGTTTAATAAATTTTTATTAGATTATAACAATTAAATATTGTGAAAAGTGATGTCTAAAAAAGGTGTGCTAGTTTTCTCAAAAAATAAGCTTCCCCCTAAGCAAACATACTACAGGAGTGCCTGGTCTAAGTGAGGCATATAATTTAATAAACAGTCATTTTTAGATAATATATACATATTTAACATATGAAAAATAACTAGTTATTTTGCCATTACATTTAAAAAAATATAACTTGTTTAAGTTAATAATTACATATTTTCAAAAGTAACTCAACACAAATTAGAAATACTAATAAGAAAAATATATTAACTTTCTAATAATTTTTTTATCTATTATTCAATCGAATTATTCAAAATTATTCATATTCGATTAAGTATTTAACATGTTCCTTGCGAAACTATTTACTTTTTCCACATCTATAAATCACTTTTTAAAATTTTCCCATTCTTTCATATAAAAATTTTTTTTTTCAAAGAATTTATCTACAAATCGATTCGAATTTTTCTTATTCGTAAAAATAAGAAATTATACGAATTTAGAATCGAATATGAATAATGCAAATATTCGATTCGTATTTTTGTACACTTTAATATTAGCTGAACCATTATTAATTTCCACATTCTTCTTTTTTGGACAATACAGCGTTAATGCTAAGGTAAGAGACTTATGATTCTACTACTCTGGTCATTGTCACCAATCTATAACGATAGATCAATATTACGTAAATATAAGCCCCCCCCCCCAAATAAAACAAATAAAATGTAAATAGAATGTTACACGTTTTCCTAATATAAGTTGTTGAATGTTCATCTATTTAAAATTTTTTTTTTATTATATCAGTCCAATATTTATGTTTCGAACAAGGAACTAATTTTTATTATATATATATTTAATAGCTCTATTTTACACGCTTTAACGATGAAAAAAAATAAAAATAAGTTGGCCACTGTCACCCTGACGTAGTTAAAGCTTCTAATGAACAAAAATTGTTGTTGGAAACCAATTCTAGATACCTTCACCCTAAAATCGTAGAATTAGCTTACAAACTGTCTTCATTGTTGCCATCGCCTCTGCATAAATTCTATTTTTTGAACTCTGGGTTAGTTTTCGCATTATATATTTAAGATTTATCTATTTAATTTTTTGAATAAATTGTAGCTCGGAAACCACTGATCTAGCACTACTCCTTTCATTTTACCACACCAAAGCTACGGAAGTCATTGTTATTGACCAGTAAATAAATAATTTTATATATCATAGACTTAATTTAAAAAAAATAATATATTTAGTGCATATCACGGTCATTTAATGTCATCTATGGCTCTAAGCCCGTATAAATTTAATCGACCTGGTGGGGCGGGAAAGAAGGATTGGATCCATATAGTACTATTTACAAAATATAGAATTTTAAACATGTAGGGCATTTTATAATATATATTTTTAAAAATGATAAACTTTAGTCGAATTAAAATTATAAATATTATAATTACTAGAATATATAATTTTTAGCTGATAGATGGGCAGATAGGTCCATTAACATTAATAGTAATCTAGACAAATTGGACATTTACTGTCTTCATTAAAAGGCATTTAGACGAAGCGTCTATCCATCTAGAGTTGTTAAATCGCCTAATTTTTGTCAGCTCCAAAGTGGCTTAGTCAAGTTTTAATCCTACAAAATTTATCTCAATCTTTAAGTTAAAGCTCAACTTAGAGGCGTAAGTCAGTTTTTTTAGGCTAAAACCTTATGAGCGCCATATTGGAGTTGGTCGTTAAGAGTGATTTTCAACTCCATTTCAGTCTACTACAGCTAATACAATCATTGATTGCATCTGATTTCCATGTATGTCAGTTAATAATATTGTTATTTGATGTGCCTATCTTAATTTATATATATTTTTATAAGGGACTTTTAGTTTATAATTTATTGTTATAAATGTAAATATTCTATTTTCATAATGAGACAAGATTCTATTTTTTTTTAAAAAATGTGGTAATTTTCAAAAAATATTGTATATATTTCTTGAATTTATATTTTTTAACTTACATAGTTTTAATAAATAGATTGGCTGACACAATTTTTTTTTAAAAAACTAAAAATTAACATTTTTAATTAGTTGAGTATTCTAAGATAAATATATATATATATATATCTATATACACTATATTTCATTGAAAGGTTATTTAATTTAGCGAAAGAATAGACAACAAATGTTCTTTTTGCTGAAAACCTTGAATGGAAATGATTATAATTAATTTTTTGTTTTTATAAAATATGTATACATATTTTTAATTTTTAATAAATATTTTATACCATTTATAAAATAAAAATATATTGCTTAAATCCCAATATATAATGATAAAATATCACGTCTTCAGTATTTTGTTTATTTGCTCTTAGTAGTAAGTAAAAAAAAATTTTTAGATTTTTTGAAAATGTAATTCTAGCATGCTATTTTATTTAAAAAAAAGCATTGTATTATTATTTACGAAAGGCCCCATGTCCTGATACCTATCGTGGTTTATACAACAAGGATACCATAGTAAAAGATCGAAACGAAAACCATGCCTCTGAAACAGAATTTGATTACGGAGCGGCTTACGCATCTGAGGTGATCAGAATCATCGATGACATTCATAGATCGGGCAAGAAATTGGCCGCTTTTATATGCGAATCGATGATAAGTTGTGGGGGCCAAATTATTTTACCCCCTCGTTATCTCAAACTCATTTACGAGTAAAAATATTTTTTATACATATCATCTTTTGAATTTTGAACTTTTTGATATTATAACTTAAAAATATTTAAAAATGCTAAATTTTCTCCATCAAATTTAAGTAAAGAAAAAAGGGAAAATTGAAATGTCAAAAAAATAATAATAATAACTGATATGATAAAAGCGCAACTTCTATAATTAATAAGAATACTTGTATGGTTAAAATGAATATTTAATACTAATATGTAAATATTTTATAAAATTCTTAAGCAATATTATTAACCAGCCCAAAGTTATTAAAAAAATCTTTTATCTCTATAAATTTCAAAGAGAAAATATTCCCTGCTGTGTACTTATGAAAAAAATGAATAATATTTATAAACTTTAAAACGAATAATCTTTTATAAATTCATAATTAAAAATTTGTTTTTTTTGCATTCTATATTATTGTAAATATTCAAATAATTGAAATTTTTGTCTTGAAAAAGTATATATTGAAAGTTTAATTATATAATAGTTTAAATCAACTAGGAAGCTACTTTCAAAAATAGCATTTAACAAACGCCGATAGTTCCTAACCTATCAATTTCAGATACTATTTTCAATGAAATCTAATCATTTTTTCTAATTTAAAGCCTATTACTTTTTTTGTTGTTTATTAATTTAAAGTTACAACATAGAATTATCTGAAATTCATAGGGTAGAATTATTATATGGGAATATGATTTCAGCCAGGTCTTTCAAAATTAAAAAGCATGTTGCTATAAGTTTCATAAAATTAGTTTTATTTAAAAAAAAATTGGGTCAGTGAAACCACTTAAGTGTTATGAAATGATATTTATATAATATGAATGAACGAGGAAAATTTAGAACCATTTAAAAATAAAAAAATAATGTTATTCTTTTGATAACGAATAAGGGTAAAATTTATTCTTTATAACACATATGGTATCTTAAAATTTAATAGGGCTGTTAGGAAAGCTGGAGGCGTTTGCATAGCGGATGAAATTCAAGCTGGATACGGAAGGTGTGGGGAACATTTTTGGGCCTTTGAGTTGCAAGATGGTATGATATACCACATTTTATTTTTTTAGTTCCTTATTTATTTAGTTTAGTAAGGCTGGATTTTAGGGTGATCTGATCCGACTCGATTTAATAGCTGTTTATCTTTAAAAGATTTTAAAAATCGCTCACTGTTTGATCATATTGGATCTAATCCTACTATGAATATAGACTAGGTTACGCTCTAGCAAACAGTTGTTTGTTTTTGTTGTTAAATAAAAAAATTATCTTCGCACGTTTATTGTATGCCGCATGCTATACTTTATTTTGCATGGTTTTTTAAAATACTTTTGCGAATAAAATCTTTCAAAAAAAGGTTAGTACTCCTGGCATACCATCAAGTTTGATTAAGAAATGATGGCTCTAAAACGATATTATATCCTTAATTAATTTAATTTATCTTATTTTTTTCAAAAGTTGTACCAGACATTGTTACTATAGGAAAGCCTATGGGAAATGGTCATCCTGTGGCAGCTCTAATCACCACCGAAGCTATATCCAAACATTATGCCCAGAGTCATATCGAATATTTTAATACCGTACATAACAAGATCTTCATGTTTTAAATATTTTTAAAATTTTAATACATACCTTCCTCTTGAATAAAGGATAAACAAGTATAGGTAATTATTGTCAAATGCCACCCCCCCCCCCATTCCCCTTTAGATAAATACAAAGTGAATTATTGAAAAATTGTTAGTATTGATCAAGATCGGCTCTCTTATAGCCGATTCTGCATAAATGGAGATAATAAAAATAACTCAAATTATCTCCTTAGCGACGCCAGTCAGTCAAGGCCTGTCGCTTACATTTTATCTTTATAAACCAATTACAATATACCTCAAAAATAATAACATTTACGCTATAAAAACTTCCACGCTAAAACATGTGATTCTGAGAATCGCAACAGGTATATTAATATGCTCCTCTTTAATTCGCATTTATTAATTCAATGTAGAGTAAAACAATTATTTTAAAGAAAGTATTTTGGTTATCTTAAAGCATTTTAGTATTAGAACCCTAAAGGGGTGTGCTATGGCTGCCTGGGACAAAAACGAATTCGGAGGCACTTTAAAAATTTTAAATAAAAAAAAGTGAAATAATGAAATTTGATAGCAAAAAATCTTATCAAATTTATGCACAAGAACCGAAAGTCGTTGTAGTTTTGTAGTATTTAAATTTAGTTGATAATTTAACTATATTTTTTTCCACAAGTAATTTGTAATTGAGTTTAGTTTTCTAAACAACGTGATATACTACTTTTAATTTTTGTAAAAATATATCATTATTTTATTTTATTTTGATTATTATACAATTTTGACCAATATCTTATTTTATTTTAAATAATTCTATATGGGATTTTGTTTTTTAATACGCCTGATATCATTAGAAGTAGAATACATGTGGGATATGCCTAGATGACAAGATTTTTTTACACTATAATTTTGAGGATGTTTTTTTTTCAATGTGTCTTCTCTTGTGTTTCGTTTCCCAGCCAGGATTACTCCTATGTATTTCAGCATAAACAATTTCATTTCCGTTTTTTTAGCTAGCATAAACTTTAGTATGAAAGTAAGTCATAAATTTTGTTTTAATGATGAGTTCAAATGTCCTTCCTTCAAACTTAACCTTTTTCTATATTAAACACTAAAATACTAGAGCTAATATGATATATTGTTATTGTGATATTTAGTGTAAGTTTATTATATAATTAACAGTGAATATATTCATGATCATACAAAACGAAAACCTTTGGACACCATATTTTTATTTGTTAATTTTAATAGATGGAATCCTATCTTTTTTGCTAATTTTTAGATGATATTTCATTTTTTTTGATAATTTTAGATAAGGATTTTCACTTTATTTGATAAACTTTAGATAGAATTTTATTCTTTTTCCGATAACTTAGTTAGAATTTCATTTTTTTGGATAATTTTGATTAAAAAAAAAGATAGATTTTTTTAAAATATTTTATGTCTTAAAAATTTTATTATTTCGATATAAATTTTATTATTAAAAAATATATAATGAATAGTATGGCGGAAATCCTGTTTCTTGTGCAGTAGCGTTATCTGTTTTGGAAGTGATGGAGAAAGAGAACCTCATGGCGAATTCTAAAAAAGTGGGAAATTATCTGATGAACAAGCTGTTTTTATTACAAAAACGCTTCCCAAATATTATTGGTGATGTGAGGTAATATTCTTAAATAAGCACTTTCATTTACCATAAAATTAATAAAAATGTGTTTAAGAAAAAAAAATTATATAGCGTCGGCTGTTCAGAAGAATATTTTTTACAAAAAAATATTTCCTGTATTTTAGATAGGAGATCACACCATAATAATGCAAATAATTAATTATTCCAAATATATTTTAATATTTTTATTGATGATACGGAAGAATATAGAACTGAAGGGATTCATCGAAAAAGATGAATTTTTCAAAAAAGTGGATATGGAAAATAGTACTCAGCCGACGATATTATTTATTTTAAAAAATTCTTCAGACCACCTATACCTTTTCCGAGGCGACATCAATATTTAAAGCGTTAATAAAAAATCTTAAAACATAAGAAAGTGATTAAAATGGTTTGGATATTAATATCACTTTCGCCCTCATCTTTTCTTTTTTTTTGGGGGGGGGAAGGGGGAGGAGGGACATTTATCTTTATTTTTAATATATAAACAAAGGGCACATGATTTTTGGTTCTCTAACATTTAATACCAGTTGAGGTGTTGTTAAACAGCTTAAGCCCCTTTAAAATGTCTAACTCAATATCTTAGTCAGAAAAACATTGCCTAATCCTGGAGATTTCGTTAATAGATATCCAAACCTTTGTGCATCTATAGGAAAAATCTTCAAGCTTGGGTAATATTTTTCTGAATAAAATATTGAGTTAGCCGTTTTTAAATATCGCCTCAGAATGAGTCGTTTAACAACACTAGTTGAGGCGTTATTATAATAATATTATGTTTGATTATTTTACCCTGAAAAAATTTTAAAATTTCACTGTTGTAACGAAATTTCGTGTTCAATATATTACATTTATTATACCTTTATCTTAATACATTTTTTATTATTTACTATATCCTTTATAGAGGTTCAGGCTTGTTTATAGGAGTTGAATTGATTGAAGATATCGTGACCAAAATACCATCTCCAAGTTTAGCCGAAAAGATTATATACAAGTTTGTAAAAAATTCAGATGTCACTTTTTAGCATTGATCCGAACCTTTATACCGGTATATTATCCGCTAACAGAATTTAACCGAACCTGAACCCTTTATTATTTGTCAAACTGTATCTTTAAAAACGGTCATGAACCTGTTTGACTTTTTTCAATATTACTTCTTCTTCTCCGTTTTATGGCGATTTCCAGGTTTACCCGGGTAGACCAGTTTTCCCTCTGATTTTTCTTTTCCATTTTTGACGGTCCTGAGCATCAATACATGTAAGATTCAAGCTTCTCATATCCGCCGCTATCACATTTGTCCACGTCATCTTGGGTCTTCCTCTAGGTCTTGATCCTCCTACTTCCATCATTGTGCATCTCTTTACCCAGGTTCCACATGCCCAAACCATCTTAGTCTATTTCGTCGCATTACCATACCAATCATTTCTATACCTAATCTTGCTCGCAATTCCTTGCTAGTTTTTCTCTCTCTCAGAGATACCCCACACATTTATCTAACCATCCTCATCTCTGTTCTTTCTAATTTGGCTTCGTGAATTGCTTTCATTGCCCATGTTTCACCGCCATAAACTAAACTCCTCACACAGCTTACGTAAACTTTCCCCTTTAACTTCAGAGAAACTTTTTTATTTGTAAGAATAGACTACATCTCTCTGAACTTCTTCCAAGCTTGTCTGATCCTTGCAACAACAGCAGAATCTACACCACCATCTGCGTTTAGCATATCACCCAAATAACAAAACTTATCCACTTTTTCTAGGGTTAACCCATTGCCAATATCCAGACCACCATTTTTTAGGTTATCATTATTATGTATCCCTTTCATGCATGTTTTACAAATAAAGGTCATTCTTTCTAACATCAAACTGCCTTTTTTCCCGCTACATCTTTTATGTACCCATTTCTGGCATCTGGTGTATTGGATAGAATTTCTAGCAACTCCTTTCCCACATACACCACTAGGCCACATACCTGATTCTTCTATCTTTAGATTTTCCCCACCAATCATCCCCTTTGTTTTTGATGCATTCATTTTCAGGCCCTTTGCTTCCATAGTCATCTTCCATTTACTAACTTTATCCCTCAATTCTCCCTCACTGTTTGCCATTAATACAAGGTCATCTGCATATAATATCTCCCAGGGAAGTCCTTCACGCATTTCTCTAGCCACCACATCCATTACTAAGATAATTAATAATGGACTCAGCACGGATCCTTGATGAAGTCCTACCTTCACCTCAAAGCTGTCACTATCACCATAATCCGTCCGTACTGCTGTTTGTGCTCCAACATACATTGCCATCACTGCGGTAACTAACCATTCCTCCACACCGGATTTTCTCAAGGCCCATCTTGTAATCTCACGCGGCACCCTATCAAATGCTTTCTCCAAATCAACAAACGCATAATAGAGTTTCTTTTCCTTCGCAAGATACTTCTCCTGAATTTGTCTCACCACAAAAATTGCATCTGTCATGCCTTTTCCTGATGTAAAACCAAACTGCATTTCATCAATTTTAATTTGTTCCCTTATCCGCTTCTCCAACACTCTCTCAAATACTTTCATTGCATGTTCCAAGAGTTTAATAGCTCTGTAAGACCCGCAATCTAAAGGATCACCTTTCCCCTTGTATACTGGGATAATTATACTTCTTCGCCAGTCCTCGGGAATAATACCTTCTGTGACAATCTGATTTGCTAAATTCATTAACCATTCAATCCCTAAATCATCAGAACCTTTAAACATCTCTGATACCACCATCGTTAAACCCGATGCCTTCCCTTTCTTCATCTTTTTCACTGCTCTCTTTATCTCGTCCTTGCCAAATTTACACCCTGGACCTTCTACCTTTGCACAACTAATATTATTATTCCATTCATTTTCTTCATTCAAAAGTCCTTTCATGTAAATCTTCCAGGTATTCTTAATACCACTACTATCAATCGTCATTTTTCCTTCCATATTTTTCAAACACTTTACACCTATCACATCCTGCCACTTTTTTGACATCTGTTTTGCCATTCTAACCATATTTCCAATTCCATCAGCGCATTCCATTTCTTTAGCAAACTCGTGTCTTTTTTCTTCTTGAGCCTTCGCTATTAATTTCTTAGCATTTCTTTTAGCCATCTTGTAAATATCATTATCACTATTTTCTTTGCTATTATACCATACTTTGAAACACCTCCGTTTCTCATCCACGGCTTTCGCTACCTCCGGGCTCCACCACCAAGTCTCCTTATGTCTAGGCGGCCCTTTTGTCCATCCACATACCTCCTCAGTTGTCATTACCCAAGCTTTCTTCATGGCTTCCCACTTGTCATTCACCCCAGATGCTTGTGCCACCTCCGCCTCCCTAATCGCCAATGCCATATTGAATTGACGTCTAGCATTCTCCTTTAATTTCCAAACCTTCAGCCTTGGGACAAACTTTCTTTTAGTGATGGCACCTTTAAGAGTGAGATCTCCTACAACTAGTCGATGCTGATTTATACATTCCTCTCCCGGTATCACTTTCACATTTTTTATTATACATCGATCACATCTCCTTAATAACAAGTAATCCACAACACTTTTGGTACTACCCGACTTATAAGTCACCAGCTTCTCTGATTCTTTCTTAAACATTGTATTACAAACAATCATATCCATAGCATCACTAAATTCTAAAATCCTCTCTCCTTCCAAATTTCTCATGCCGTAACTGAACCCTCCATGTACTCCTTCATAACCCTCACTACTCGCTCCCACATGTCCATTCAGATCACCAGCCAGGATAATTACCTCTTCATTTGCCAGTCTTGATGTCACCCCCAATAGACTGTCCCAAAATACATCTTTCTCTTCTTCACTTCTTCCAACCTGAGGAACATATGCCGAGATAATATTATATACCTTTCTACCAAAAATCATCTTGATAACCATTATCTGGTTGTCTAGCCTTCTCACTTCGACTACTTTGTCTACCAATTTCTCCGCAACCAATACCCCAACTCCAGCCTTACCATCATTACCTCCTTGCCAAAAGAATTTATACTTTTCGCTAGTCTTGCCAATCATTCTGGTCCCATTTCCTTTCCATCTAGTCTCCTGTATGCAGCACACATCTATATGTCTTCTGTGCAATACATCGACGACTTCTCCCGCTCTTCCCGTCATACTCCCAACATTCCATGTCGCGACCCTAACTCGATCACCCGTAAACTGGTTTCTCCACTTTTTATCAGGTCGTTTATGGCCGTCATAGGTTTCATTTTCCTGAATAGTGGTTCCACCAGGTTTCCCATCCTACTTTTTGTCGTAGGGGGATGAGGTGGCCCACGCGGTACTTTGGGCTGTACCCCGCCCATGCTTTGTTGTAACCATAGGGAAATTTTTGTAGCAAAGTTTTTACAATCGGATGCCCTTCCTGACATTAACCTCTTTAAGTGGTTTTTACACCCCGTCGAGGAGACGGTGATCCTATTCTAGACCCAGATCACAGGGAACCTTTTAGACCTCCATTTGCCGCCAAAAGACGTTGCCACTCCCCCGCCACGATGAGGCTGAAGGTAGGATTTTGAAGATTATTTAATAAGAATTAATTATGATACACAAGTAATTAATAATTTTTTAGTATTTAACGGTTCCAGCTACCCAAATTAGCATATACATTTTTTTAAGGAATAGTAAATTAAGTTTTTTTAAAAAACAATATGCTTCTTTTTACATAAATTTAATTTGTTTGTAAGCTATAAAATCAGACAGAACACGGTTTTTAGCCAAATCTGAATCATAACCATTTTTTTATATCTAAATCTGATTAACACCTTTTTATGACTTAAAATGAATAATAATAATAATAGATTGTACAGTGGAACATTCATAAAATGGACCACTATCACGTGTTGATCAACGTGCAAGTTTACAACTTTGATAAAATCATTTTTCGGAATTTGGCTAATATCCAATTTTTTTTTAAAAAAAAAGAAGAAGATTGGTCATATAAGAGTGTTCATTTTTTGAAGTTTTACTTTGGGATATAAACAAGGGGATTAGAGCTCTGCAATTTAGCTCGAAGCTGGACTCAGGCCTAAAATGTTAAAAATTGAGCCGGGGGCCCAGGTCGGAAGGAAATTTAATATGCAGGGTCAATGGGGACTCGAAATCTCCTAATTTGAAAAAATAATTGTAGCATGTAATTATTCTTATCCAATGATATATATATATATGCTACTAAATTGGCGATTCATTCATTAAATTCATTTAAAAGTTTATACATATCAGCACTAGCATATCCAGGATTTTGCTAAGGAGGGGGCGAAGGAACCACTATTAGGTGAATTTTTCCCATAGATTTTCATGAAGATCTTTAAGTCCACTTATTGTAGGCCTTTGGCTATAATTAGAAAAAGTAATTTTGGGTTTTCACTTTTTATTTTGTTAAAATTCTTTTTTTTCTAAAAAATTTGAATTATAGTCGTAATTTTAAAAGGTTATTAATTTTGCTTTCAGAAAGAAAGATAATGATATATTGTATACATTTTGCGTGCAGATAGGGGTGAGGGGTATGATGGGGTGAAATTTTTATTATCTTAAAATGATATTTACGAAAACAGGCAAATTTGCGATGGGGCATCCCCCCCCCTCGGTTATAAGAGTGAGGTGTAACACCATTTTGTGGTTTGCACTTTTAAATGATATTAATGTGCATTCATATGGTGATAAATTAAGACAATTAGTCGAATTGTAAACCACACAATGGCGCTAGTTTATATATACACTTTTAATTATGAATCGTCAATCTAATAGTATATACACATCATTTGTCTTATCTTAACTCTGTCAATTTCAGACAATTTTTTAACGTTATAAACCTTTGTGTATTTTTTTAAAAATTTATAATATAATAAAATGTCTATAAGATTAATATATTTAAAGGCTCATATTTCTATACATGATTTTCCATAATTTTTTTCAAATTTGAAAATGGCTATCAGTGTACGAATATAAAATTGAGATATTTGATATTACCAAAATGACACCATTTACTATATACTATGAGTTAGTGATCTGCATCGGGCCTAATTTTTCAAGCCCGGCCCGAAATTTTTTAAAAAAGTTTTGCCGGCCCGTCCCGAACCCGAAATTTTTAATAAAATTTACCGACCAAGCCCGGCCCGAATTTATTTAAATATAGAAATTAATTTTTATAATTACTCAAAGTAAAAGACATATGTTATATGTCGTTTAGTTTCAATAAATAAAATCAAATATTTTTATTTTACATAAAAAATTCAATATAAAATTGATAAATTTAAGATATATTTAAAAAAATTTCCAAAATCCGACCCGACCGGGCCCAATTTTTTTTTAAATATTAGGCTCGACCCGAACCCGATTATTTAAAATAAAAATAGGCCCTAAGCTCGTTCGGGCCGGGCCGGACCTAACTTTGCAGATCTCTAATGAGCTTCTTTATGCCCCCCCCCCCTAAGCTTTACTTTTATAATAGTTTTTATATTTGTCTTATTCTAAATTTGTTTACATGTTATTTTAATATTGTTTTATATATTATATTTTTTAATGTAATGTATTTTTTAAAATTTAATATAAATTACAAGGATGAAGGAAAGAAAAGTTATTATTAGTAGGGAGGGTCCAGATGGAAATATTTTGAAAATCAAGCCTCCTTTATGCTTCTCATGTCAGGATGCCGATATGCTGTGCAGAAATTTGACAGAAATATTGGAAAATAATATTTAATAATTTTAATTTCGTGTTAATGTGAAAATGAATGCTATTTTATCTTATAAAGCTGACAAATCAGTGCATCAATTTATTCTTTATATTTAATTAATGTTAGTCAAAAACCCGGAAATTTTAAATATTTATTATATTTTCATATATATATATATATAAGTCAATTTTGTGATATTTATAAAAATATATTTTATAACGTTTTAAATATAAATTTATCAGATGCACTTTCTAATTTATTAAACCATTCTTTTGCAATCCAGGATCTAAATTATTTTATGTCGTTTTATTCCAAATCTCTTGATTTTTACTAAATTCGGTATATAAACTTAGGTTTGCAATTGATTTTTTAACCCAAACTTCAGCATGCCCATTGTTTAAAAAGTTTTAACTCGCCTGCCCATTTGGCTCTTCATATATATTTTATTATGTAATAATTCATAATGTATACATATTCCAATAGTAAAATACAATATAAATAAAAAGGCGATCATTCTATGTATCGAGGTTAAACTAAAAGTTCCCCAAAAACATGAATAATTATATTTATAAATAGTAATATGAATATGTTGTTTGAAAAAATTTCTTAGGTTCTGATGTAAGGGCTCTCATTTTGCCTCTTATATTTTTAAAAAATGTTAAAGTTCCGCTTGACGTATGTCCAAGGGAAAAGATAGCGATTGGTAGAAAAACAAAATTTGTTAATTTTGAATATTTAATTTTATTTTCTCAGCTATATCAACCGGAACTTATTTCGCCCGAAACACCCATTATCTTAGATATTATAATCGCTAACGAGCTAAAATTTCGTTTTTGATTTAACTACAAATACAACATATATAGTGTATCTACAAAATTTCATTTTGGGAATCCTTTGACCAGCATAATATTTTTTAAAAACAGCCTCATAAAAAATGAGTAGCTTCAATTTTTATAAAATCAAACACATATTATTTATATATTCTAAATAAATATCGTCGGTTGAGAATTGTAATGTTTTATAATATCAACAAGAGTGCATTTTAAAAAAATCATCATATTTTAAAATAGGAGATTAGAGATCACACTATAATAATGCAGATATAGAATTAATTTTAAACATTTTTATTGTTATTTCCCTAATTTTTTAATAAAAAAACGTAACGCATCTCTTGTTTAAATAGAGGTTTCCTTTTTATTAATATCGTCAATTCAAAATTTTAACAAAGTTTTAAAAAAAGGATTTATCTTTGAAAATTATAGTATCATCATTTTTATTTCTTTCATTTCGAAATATTCCATACATTTTATAAAATATTGGAAAAAAAGTAAACCTAATAGCGTTTTTTGAAATGGTTGCTAACGACAAACGATTTTTATTGATTTGCACGTTGCCATTTGAAATGCTCAATTTGTGCGCACTATAATGGAAAAATATAATAACGAAAAATTGATTTAACGGGGAAAAAATTGTATACTGCAAAAATGTGGATATACTTATAAAACTCAGTCGACTATATATATAAAAAAATTAAAGATGCGAAATCGTAGATAAAACTGACAATAAAACATAAATTTCTGTAGCACAAGAAGTCTCAATAATAATTTTATTCTCTCTTGATGAAGTTATGCCTTATCATAGTTTTAATAGGGATTTAATTAAATAGATTTTCTGGTAAAATTTTCTTACATTCGGCAATTTCTAAGGTTTAAAAAATGTAAGAAAATATACTTTAAAACAAGAAATATTTAAATCAATTATAATTTTTTGTAAATTTAAAATAGAGTCTAAGCGAAGCATGAAGACCATTTTTTGGTATAATTTTCTATTTTGATTAAGGTAGTGATATTTTTAAAGGTGTATTAATTTCTATTTTTAAAAATCACTTTTCCAAGGGAGACCTTCATGAGCCAGCTCATTGCTATTACTAATATTATCTAGCAGCCCTGGGCCAGGGTTTTTTTAAGGTCATAGGCCTTAAATCTAGCTAATTTTAAGGATACTTAAAAAGATATCTTATAATTTCACTAATATTAATTTTCCATAACTATTCTATTGTTAGAAATTCAACCTCTTTCCAACTTATCTTTTTTGCCCAAAACAGTTAACTTAAAAATTTTTTACAGAAATACACTGATTCTTTATTTTCATTGAATTGGAAAAATAAATTGAGATTATATATATTTTTTAAAGCTGTCAAAATTGGATTATTAAATGCATACCAGTCTTACAAATATTATTTTTTTACTGTGAACTTGGCCAGGTCAAAAAATTAGGCCCATGAAGGTCTCAACTTGATATTTTGTTCCTAAAAAGAAAATAGACAAGCAGGAGTAGAGGCTTGCAATGGTTGTCTAAAACCCAACATTATCAGACATTGAAGGCCTTTTTTTCTATGGGGTATAATGTCTGATTCAACAAACATTTAAAAGAGGACTTGATTGAAGTCATCATTATTTTTATCTTTTTAATATAATATGTTCATTATTATATTTCTTCTCAATATAAACAATAGGGGTTAAATATGCTTTTACTTAAAATTTCAATATTTGAATAGATATACATAATTTTTAATTGTTTCTTAAACATCATAATATATAATTGTTTCTTAGACATCATATTTAAACTCAAATTATAAAAAACCTATTTAAAATAGTCAGTTTTTAAATAAAAATATTTATTTCAAAAAACAAAACATAAGCCTGTTTAAATTTAAACAATCAAACTTGTTTAACATTATTTTATAACCAAAATTCGTTTTGGAGGTCTGGAATGAGATGGTAAGCTTGCCCATAGATTTTTAAAAAAATTATCTAATATTGACATTTATTTTACAATTAAGGAGCTACTAATTTTAAAATTGCATAATTTATTAAAATTACTTAAAGAATTCAAAGGTAAACTACATAAAAAATTATTTTGGTAAAATTAAATATAATTCTTAAAAAGTTAACATACGGTTTCTTTAGAACGAGCAAGTTTTGAACCTATTTCGTCTTCACATCATAAAATGATGACATTTTGATAAATTATAAGGGTATATTTTATTTTAAGGAATTTGTTTATATAAGCAACTTTTAACTTCTTTTAAAATATGGTAGCCCTAAAAAGGGCTGTTGGGTATTATTTGCTTTGAAGCAAGATTTTTTTATCCGCCAAAACCATACAGAGTTCGTCCTTGTCTTTTCAAGGCATACACAACGTCCATGGCGGTAACAGTCTTCCTCTTGGCGTGTTCAGTATAAGTAACAGCGTCTCTAATCACATTTTCTAGAAAAACTTTCAATACACCACGAGTTTCTTCATATATGAGCCCGGAAATGCGTTTGACACCACCTCTTCTGGCCAATCTGCGGATAGCTGGTTTGGTTATTCCTTGGATATTATCTCTAAGAACCTTTCTATGACGTTTAGCTCCTCCTTTTCCTAAACCTTTTCCACCTTTGCCTCTACCAGTCATTTTATAATTATTTTAATTTTTTCGAAAAAGCAAAAAATGATAAATATTTTTTTTTTATCAAGCTATTTATACAAATATAATATAATTTATCATTGGTTTAAAAATTGCATAAATTTATGTAGGGAAATATCACATATTTATTGTATATTATTTAAAGATTCTTATTGGATAGTATTTTATTAATAATAATAAAAAAGCGCAAAATTATTAGAGGGAAATTATATAAATATTAAAAAAAGCGCAAAAATACTGGAAGGATATATTATTGGATGTTATAAAATACACATATTATTTTATTTTTTAAATAACAAAACAAAAATGGAGGGATATTGTTATTTTTATATATATTTTATAGATTTTTATTGGATACTATTTATATACACACATATTTTTTTTAATTTTATATAAATATTAAAATATATTATTATTTTTATTTCAAATATTTTTCTTCATAGATAAACTATAAAATTAAAATGCCACCTAAACCAGCAGGAAAAGCCGTTAAAAAGACTCACAAGCCTAAAGTCGCAAAAGGTGATAAGAAAAGGAAGAGATCGAGAAAAGAATCATATGGTATCTACATTTACAAAGTGCTGAAGCAAGTTCATCCCGACACTGGTATATCCAGCAAAGCCATGTCCATAATGAATTCCTTCGTTAACGACTTGTTTGAAAGGATTGCAGCAGAATCATCTCGTTTGACTCATTACAACAAACGTTCAACTATCTCAAGTCGGGAGATTCAAACTGCGGTTAGACTGTTATTGCCTGGAGAGTTGGCTAAACATGCTGTGAGCGAGGGAACCAAAGCTGTTACAAAATATACTAGTTCAAAGTAGTCTCTTTGTGACTATCAATACCCAACAGCCCTTTTTAGGGCTACATAGTTTATTGAAGCAAATAGCTTATATATCAAATTTTATTATGTATTAGATGTAATTATTTTGATTTAGACATTTCTCATGACCAAACGGATTAATATAATTATTAAATGTATTGATTATTTTAATCATAATATAGGCCAAAATTCACCCAACTTTAACAATATATTTCTTTAAAGTAAATTTTAAAAAAAATTAACAGAATATTTCATAGGCAAGACTCGGTCTAATGGAAAAATGAGAGGTTTGGCTTTGGGATCGTAATTCTCCCACCACATTAATCTATTTGGGTCGATAGTGAATATTGTTTAATTTATTAAACTTGAAGTTTCACATATTAAAAATCATACGTCAATATTTTAAATCTGCTCAGAAGCCGTAAGTTTTTCTTATCGATTTATATAATTTTGGTACATTCTAAAAACTAAAAAAAAGCTTATGAACTGGTTCAGTTAGGCTGCATTCAAAGTGGAGACGGATCCGTTCCGTCAAAGGTCAATTTCATTAAAATTGATATATATGTTCAAAGTGCGTCCGTTCCGATACCTTCCGTCTTAAAAACGGATCCTGCAAATTTTGCAGTCAAAACATTTTGACTTTTTTATCCGGCAAATTTTATAGCGTTATAACATTACTTATAATTTTTTAAATATTAAAATCAATATATATATCATTTTTAAACTCACTTTTGACGGAATGGATCCGTCTCCACTTTTACTGAATGTATTTTTACTCCCTTAGCAATAAGATGTCTAAAAATATATGTCCAATATCTATTTTTAATTTGTAGGTTAAATTTCTTACATAAATAATTTTTTTTTAAAATAATGTATTTGTACGTTGGATCTGTAAAATATTTAATTTGGGGCCGATTTTTTTTAAAAAACCATTCTTGGTTTTTGAAATGTACCTATTTGGCCTTTTACTGCTCGTTTTTTAGCGAATATAAAATTCATGTATTTATATTATCTTACCTATACATTTGTATTCGACTGTTGGTTAATTCTCTTATTTCCTGTTCCTTTTGTAATTTAAGTCTTTTATAGAATTTTAACTATTCATACCTGAATTTTGGAAGTTTCCCCTTAAAAAGTGTATATTTTAAATATTAAGTGTATTTTAGTTGATTAAATATCACCTGAAATGGATAGTTGAATAATATTTTCTAAGGATCGAAAAAATGGAATAACACAATTTTTAAAGATAAAAAAAATAATTATAAGCCAACATTACCTATTGATAATATATTACTACAAATGAAGAAACCAATTACCAGTTAAAAAAATATTAATAATCATTTTAAATATTCGGACCAGGCCGAATATTTTTTAATAGAAATATGGGCTGGGTCTGCGGATCTCTAGAAGAAAAATAGTGTTATGAAAATTATTTCTTCAACACGTGTCATAAATAGTGATATGAAAATTATTTCTTCAATACACGTATCATATCTTCACTATAATTTTATTTGGGTATTAGCTTACTTTTAATAACTCAAAAACGGTGATGGCAACCATCAAAAACTATAGAATAGAAGAGAGAATTTTTGATAGCTGGGTAGGAGATTCATTCCAATTTATCGAAATTCAAGAGTATTTTAAATCATTTTAATGTTCCTATACAAATTTAAGTAATATATCATTTTTCAATTTAAAAATTATAGTCTATAGGTCTTAAAACAGAATTAATTTCAGCATTTTTATTATAAAAGCAGTTTAGCATTCTACATATTTTTAGTGGCCCTAAAAAGGGCCGTTGGGTATTTTTATTTAATCATTTAAGATTTAGCTGATGTTTCGGATTTTTTGGGCAAAAGAATGCTTTGAATATTGGGTAACACTCCACCTTGAGCAATAGTAACACCGCATAAAAGCTTGTTTAATTCCTCATCGTTTCTGATAGCCAACTGCAAATGTCTAGGTATAATTCTCGTTTTTTTGTTGTCTCGTGCCGCATTTCCTGCTAATTCCAATACTTCGGCAGCTAAATATTCCATAACAGCAGCCAAATATACAGGAGCTCCAGCACCTACTCTTTTAGCATAATTTCCTTTCCTCAGTAATCTGTGAATCCTTCCAACAGGGAATTGAAGTCCAGCACGGGTTGATCTACTCTTTGCCTTGCTTTTTATTTTTCCGCCTTTACCTCGTCCAGTCATTTTTAGAATATATTATTTAAAATTTAAAATGATAGATAAAAATGAGACTAATAAAAAAAATGTATATTTCCTTGTATTTATAAAAGAAATATGTGTATTATATAGGAGCTAATCATAAAAGAGTATAATAAAATAAAAATATATCTGTAATTTTTAACAGCCAATCATAAAAAATAATAATACAATAAACACATTTTTTACAATAAAAAAAATATTTATAGAAAATATTAAAATACATGTGTATATTTGGAAATGTTGTGTTTATGTGTTTGTTATCTCCAAAATGCACGTTTTCTTGTTACCATTTATTTCTATAAGCTTGATGTCGCTTCAGGAGATTTATGAATTATTATATATTTTTCAAGTTATATAATTTCTATATAAGGAATTTCGATGCGTAAAAAATTATGGGATATCAGACTCCCATCATAGCGTCTAATCCCGAGCATAAATGCCCTCCCCCCTCAAAAAAAAAATTTATCCCCGTTTTTAAATTTTTCTCAGGATATAAGATAGAAGGGAATGATTTTATTATTTGCAAGTTTAGGGAATTTTCGAAGATTTTATAGATGTTAAAAAAAGGGGAATCACTGACATGAATGTCCTAGACAAAAAAACTTCGTTTCGCCTTTTTATGTATATAAAAATTTTTTCAAAAATTTAGGAGGAGAAAGGTCAATTTATTTATTAATATATTATGGTGAATTTTTTAAAATAATTCCAAGGATTTTTTTATGTCAAATCCTAGTCCCAAATTTTCTAATGTAATTAATCGCCATAAGATTTTAGCCAAAATAATATCATGAAACCTCAAGATTTGGCACAACAGTTAAAGAAAAATCCCCAAGAGTTAAAATCGTAATCGGGTATAATATCAATTTTCGGTTAGGGTACCTTTTCAGGGGCAATTATTTTTGTTATTTTTTGTTATTTTTTTATGCGATTTTTTGTTATTTTTTTATGCGATTTTTTGTTATTTTTTTATGCGATTTTTTTTATGTAATTTTTTTATGAAAACTATTGTTTTTATGTTATTTTTTTATGATTGGTTCATTTTCTTATTGGTTAATTTTTTATTTAAGATATTTTAAAATTAATATATCTTTTTTTATTTAAGATATTTTAAAATAATTTTTTCTAAAATTTAAAATTCGTACAATTATTTAAAGGAAGTGATGGGGGTAATGTTATTTTTTGTTATTTTTTTATGCGATTTTTTGTTATTTTTTATGCGATTTTTTTTATGTAATTTTTTTATGAAAACTATTGTTTTTATGTTATTTTTTTATGATTGGTTCATTTTCTTATTGGTTAATTTTTTATTTAAGATATTTTAAAATTAATATATCTTATTTTATTTAAGATATTTTAAAATAATTTTTTCTAAAATTTAAAATTCGTACAATTATTTAAAGGAAGTGATGGGGGCAAATAAGGGGGAAGGCTAGGGGTAAGGGGTAAAATTATTAGATTATGTACAATGCGGGTAGGTTTGGGATTAAATTTTTGATAGATGAAACTTCGCTATTTAAAATTTATTTGGTTGATTCTTTCTATACAAACTTAATATGATTTCTTCTAAACAAACTTAATACGATTCCTTCTATACAAACTTAATATGATTCCCTCTATACAAACTTAATATGATTCCTTCTATACAAACTTAATATGATTCCTTCTATATAAACTTAATATGATTCCTTCTATACAAACTTAATATGATTCCTTCTATACAAAATTAATATGAATAATTTTTTCTAAAATTTGTATAAAGAATTTAATTTTTTTTAGATAACACTATAATTAAAGGGAGATTGCAAAAATAAATAAAATTTAAGCATAACAATCGAAATAATTTATTCATTAAATTGAAATATACTATTAAAATTTATACAATCATTAATAAAATGAATAAAAACATCAAAACGATTTAATAATCTATATTTTCGAAAATATCTATATTCAAGAAGATATTCATGAATATTATCCCGATCCCCATGTCTTTTATAATTTGCCTTTAGATCCCGCCACAGCCTCTCGACTTTTTGAGTGTGGATCGATCTGTCATTTGGATCAACAAAATTTTGCGAATGGTTGATCCGATAGTGGAAATAGTTTGAACTTTCTAGCCGATTATATCTAAGATAAATATATTTACATTTATCACCACTTTTGCTTTATTGAAAAAATAAATTCACATACCCTAACCACGAGTCAGTCATTATCGTGGAATCTTGCATAACATTATCTTTAACCACACGATAGGTGGTATCTTGATCTCTTGTTGTGGTGACACTTAAAAATATCTCATTTGTTTCCCGACATATACCACCAATAATCCATATAGCCTCGGAAATCAAATGCCGACCACGGTTATATTTACGCTTCCATACACGAGTTTCATCAATTTCAATAACGTGGCCAGGCCCCCCTTCCCCCGATCTTTGAATGATTCGAGGCTATATGGAATCCACATACCTTTCGAAATTTTTTAAACCTATATAAGTGAAGTAAAAAACCATATTATACTTTAGATTACCATCTTGAAATTGCCTTCTTATCATAATCTAACTCTTTCGAAGCAGTTAAAATTTTATAACGGCCTAAAAATAATTTTGTTTAATATTTTTTAAAGAATTGGTACTTATGTACAAGTACACTAGTCTTAAAAATTTCCCAACATCATGAATTCCTTCAAAAATCGAATCTAAAAATTCGTCATTTATGATATATATATATTAATATTACCTTTCCATATTGAATACGATCTACGACACCTACTGCATCGATATCGTAAACTCTTATTGTTTTTTTCAACCCGCATTACGGAATTGCAACAGTATGTTGTATTCCAGGCGGTATAAATTGATTATTTAGACAAAAATCATAAGCTTTCTCATCATTTTGAGTATAAACACCAACTTCAAAAATATTCATTTTTAAAAAAATAGAAGGAATTATATAATATATATTGGAACTAAAAAAAAGGGAACCAAAAAAAGATTTATACCAAAAAAAAAATTAAAAATGGAAAGTTTCGTCTACCAAAATTCTTACCCCAAACCTACCCGCATTGTACATAATCTAATAATTTTACCCCTTACCCCTAGCCTTCCCCCTTATTTGCCCCCATCACTTCCTTTAAATAATTGTACGAATTTTAAATTTTAGAAAAAATTATTTTAAAATAGCTTAAATAAAAAAAGATATATTAATTTTAAAATATCTTAAATAAAAAATTAACCAATAAGAAAATGAACCAATCATAAAAAAATAACATAAAAACAATAGTTTTCATAAAAAAATTGCATAAAAAAAATCGCATAAAAAAATAACAAAAAATCGCATAAAAAAATAACAAAAAATAACATTAAAAAATAACAAAAAATAACATTAAAAAATAACAAAAATAATTGCCCCTGAAAAGGTACCCTAACCCAATTTTCTATAAATATACTATTTGATCAAATAAATTGTCTTGAAAATTTTTTTATGTTTAAATTAATTTCCTAAATTATAAATTTTTTGTAGAGGTGCAATGCTGAAATATTTTTATTAGATGCTTAAAAAATTGAAAGAATTAATTAAATTCTATAAGCGAAATTTTTTTATAAATAATGGGCTGGCGGGTAAAAAATTTTAGACAAATGGGCAGGTATATATATTTTTAAAACTATGGCTGGGCGGGCGGGCTAAATTTTTTTTAAAACATTGGATGGGCGGTTCAAGTCATAAAATTTATATATTGGTAAAGAGAATTATTAAAATCAAGATTGTTACTCTAAAAAAATTTTAGTAAAAAAAAAACTGCTTCATTTAATAGGTCATCGATTGTAAAGCTAAACAATTGAAGATAACATTTTTAAAAATAGAGCTATCAATTTTTAGCTGTAAAGATTAACATGCTTTTATGAATCTGTATTAAATTAACGAAGATTATTCTGATTGTCATTGCGTATTAACATGTAGATTTCTTAAATATGAAACCATGATTAAATATGATTCCGCTAATTTATTTTTGCAAAATATTTGGACAACTTTTATAATTTCCATTTAAAAAATATATTTTTAGAAGTTCAGATTTTAAAATTCTATCATGGTGAGTATTAGTATAGCAATGTACTAACCCAACCAGGGTTGCCAGGTCAAAATTTTCAAATTGTGGGAGAAATTCGATATTTTGTGGGAGTAATATAAAAATTGTGGGAGAAATATGAAAATTGCTAAAAAAAATTTTTGGCCCGGCCTGCGGCCGGGATTTAGAATTGACTTAGTTATCCGTTTATTATTTTTATATATATAAAATCGAATCTATTTCCCAAAATAAAATAGGTAATTATTTTTCAAAATAAAATAGCCAACTATTTTTCAAAATAAAATAGCCAACTATTTTTCAAAATAAAATAGCCAACTATTTTTCAAAATAAAATATCCAACTCTTTTTCAAAATAAAATAGGTAACTATTTTCCAAAATAAAATACGCAACTATTTTTCAAAATAGGTAATTATAGTACGACACAAAATTTCTTAAATACTATCTTTATTATTAAAATAACATATTGATTTATTATAATATATTAATTTTGTTTAAAAATAATAACCAACGATCTTTTATACAAAAGAATGTAAACAAGATAAAATTTTATAAAAAAATTGTAAATTTACAATGTAAAAAAATATATTTTATGCTAATGTATAAATAAGATTTTATAAAAAAACAAACAATTTTAAATTTACAATGTAAAAAATAATTATAATCAGTGTGGGGAAGTTGTTCTACAGTATTTAGTTAATACAATGGGGAAAGGGAATATGATATTTTGAGGCATCAAAAATCTTCAAAGCATAAATCAGTACAGGGCAGTCTATCAACATCTATTGCAAAACAAACATATTCTTCAAAAATAAGAAATAATACAGATGCAACTACAGTTGCGGAAATGGTAAATACCTATCATGCAGTACAACATTCAGAGAGCTACTTAACATCACAATGTTGGTAGAATCTTTCCCCATAATATTTAACGACTAATATAAATGAAAAGTATACTTTGTAGAACACAACTGAGCAAGGCTATCATCAATGTTTTAGGATATAAATCCAGAAGGTCAATCTTGACGATTTGAAAGATGTGCAAACATATGCAATTCTAACAGATGCATCAAATAAGGAGATATTAAAACATTTCCCTTGATCCTCCCCTATTTCAACAAAATTAATGTCATTTCAATAAAACTATTAAAAAAATTTCTCCAGATTAGCTAACCATATATAATGGTAAATATGGCAGATTTGGCATTACCAATGAATTGCATGGCAGCTTTCTCATCTGATAATTCCTAGGTGAATTTGGCAAAAACCAGAGTGTATTTATAGAATTGAGTCAGCATATGTTGGTTGACAGGTTCCTCATAATACGCGCCATCGTAGAATTTTAAAATTTACAAACCTTTAAAAAATAAATAGATTATAAAAGCTGTCCTAATATTTTGAAAAAAATTTTCAAAAATAAATGGCAGAAGTATATTTAGGAATTTTACATATAGGAAATCTACTATATGCTGCTAATATGCAGTTGCAATCAGAAGAATATAATTTAATAAAGGTTCACTAAATTATGCTGCAGAAATACCAAAGTAAGAATATTATTACTATTATCGGATAATTATTAATAAGATTTAATATGATGTCATGTTTGAGGAGATTGTAATGCTTCTTTATTTTTATGATTTGCCAAAATATTCAAAATATTAATTTTACAATGTAAAAATAAATTTATTTGATTTTATGCAAATGTATAAATAAGATTTTATAAAATATAGAAAGTCAAATAGTTATAGTTAATTATATTTTATTTGAGATTTAAATGATTAAACTAAACGTTTACCGTCGTTATTAAGATATTTATAAAATTCCTGGCATGACATTTTATAATTTTGTTTAACCATTAACTCGGCCTCTAATGTTGTTAAAGCAATTCGATTTCTCTCAGGCTAAAAATGCGCTCCGATGAGGCATTAGAATGAGGTAAGGAGAAAACATACTAGCAAATTTTTTCCAAGCATGGGGATTTATCGTTATTACGAAAAAATTCCACCCATTTCTCCTCTGCTTTTAGACCATCTACCTTTAAGTATTCTGGCGAATCATAAAAATGGAAAAAATTACAATCTCTCCAAACAAGGCTTCAATGTCTATCGGTAATTTTAATATATTTATTAAAGTACAAAAACCATCAAATGATGGTTTCTGTTCCAAGGTCATAATATTTATACACTTGTAAATAGAGTTATTAAAATCAAATCTTGATTGTAAATATTCCAAAATTGTCTTAATAAAAATATTTGCTTCATTTAAAAATACGTTAATTATAGTAATATTTGAACATTTTAATATGATATTTTTAGCAATAGCGCCATAAAATTTATTATCTATTTTTAACTGTAGAGATGAACAGAGCTGTAGCATGATTTTGTGAATCTTTATCAATAAAGAATCTTCTGATTGCAACTGAATATTAACTACATGAAGTAGATTTCCTACATGTGAAACTAATCCCAAATATGCTTCTGACATTTCATCCTCGAAAAAATTTTTCAAGATTTTAGGACAGCTTTTAAAATCTTTATTTAAGAAGTATTTCTTTAAGGGTTCGTAAAATTTTAAAATTCTCTCGATGGCAAGTATTAATGATAACCACCTGATAGGTACATATCGCAACAACTCACACCATTCTAAATCAGACCACTCCACCAGTTCTTTTAATTCAGTGACTCTTTTAGTTGAACTAAATTCGTTAAAACATTTCATCACAATTACTTTGACATCTACAGATAGTACATTCATTGCCTTCTTGCAAGAATTATGCAGTATATGGCATATACCGCCAATTGGTATTAATTCATTATTGTGCTGCCTCAATTCGGTAAATACACTTTGATTTTTGCCAAAATTAACAGAGGCATTATCAGCGCAGAAAGCTGACATGCAACTCATTGATAACCCTGAATCAGCTATATTTACCATTATGTATGGGATATAATATCCACTTCTAAAAGTTCTTTCTAACACAAAAATTTTGAAAATGTCGAGTGGAGCACTGCAATTCTAGATAACGATATAAAATATATTAAGTAATTTAAAATATATTTATAATAATTATACATACTGTTCTAACTTCTATTCTTTCTAATACAAAAATTTTGAAAATGTCGAGTGGAGAATTTTTAAAAAATATATTTTAGAGCGGAAAAATAAAATAAAAGAACTAGACATATTTTTCGAATAAATATTTAAATTATTTTAAATATAAAAATAATCAAATACTGTCTCTCAAAATTATTATTTATATATTAAAAACCTTAAAATGCTAAAAAAAAAAACTGTGGGAGAAATTAAAAAATTGTGGGAGCTTTTTGTGGGAGATTTCTAATTGTGGGAGTGAGATGTATGTGGGTAAACTAAAAAATTGTGGGAGACTCCCACTGATGGGGGGAGACATGGCAACCCTGAACCCAACACACATAATTCCATATCATACTATTCAACTGAAACTTTTAATTAAATCACTCGTTTAGTATATGAACTAAATCAGGCGCTTAAGCAGCAGGGGGAGGGGGTGCGCGTCCCTAGCTAAAAAAATTCAAAAACTATAAATATAATATTAAAGAAAACCTTCATTCTATTTGTCCCTTTTAGTTGATTTATAAAATTTAAAGCTGTTTTAGTTTAGCAATGACTAAGGCACTAAAGAGTAACAAATCTTCCTTACTAAAATAATGTAAATTCTTTATAAAGCAAAGCAATAGATTTAAATTTTTATTAAAAGGCTTGACCAATCTATATAATATATTTGATAAAATCAATAAGATTTATTGAAATAAAGGACAATATATTAAAATTTGATTCATAAACTATTTGCTTCAATAAAATATGTAGCCCTAAAAAGGGCTGTTGGGTATTGATAGTCGCAAAGAGACTACTTTGAACTTGTGTATTTTGTAACAGCTTTGGTTCCCTCGCTCACAGCATGTTTAGCCAACTCTCCAGGCAATAACAGTCTAACCGCAGTTTGAATCTCCCGACTTGAGATAGTTGAACGTTTGTTGTAATGAGTCAAACGAGATGATTCTGCTGCAATCCTTTCAAACAAGTCGTTAACGAAGGAATTCATTATGGACATGGCTTTGCTGGATATACCAGTGTCGGGATGAACTTGCTTCAGCACTTTGTAAATGTAGATACCATATGATTCTTTTCTCGATCTCTTCCTTTTCTTATCACCTTTTGCGACTTTAGGCTTGTGAGTCTTTTTAACGGCTTTTCCTGCTGGTTTAGGTGGCATTTTAATTTTATAGTTTATCTATGAAGAAAAATATTTGAAATAAAAATAATAATATATTTTAATATTTATATAAAATTAAAAAAAATATGTGTGTATATAAATAGTATCCAATAAAAATCTATAAAATATATATAAAAATAACAATATCCCTCCATTTTTGTTTTGTTATTTAAAAAATAAAATAATATGTGTATTTTATAACATCCAATAATATATCCTCCAGTATTTTTGCGCTTTTTTTAATATTTATATAATTTCCCTCTAATAATTTTGCGCTTTTTTATTATTATTAAAATACTATCCAATAATAATCTTTAAATAATATACAATAAATATGTGATATTTCCCTACATAAATTTATGCAATTTTTAAACCAATGATAAATTATATTATATTTGTATAAATAGCTTGATAAAAAAAAATATTTATCATTTTTTGCTTTTTCGAAATTCTAAAATTAAAATAATTATAAAATGACTGGTAGAGGCAAAGGTGGAAAAGGTTTAGGAAAAGGAGGAGCTAAACGTCATAGAAAAGTTCTTAGAGATAATATTCAAGGAATAACCAAACCAGCTATCCGCAGATTGGCCAGAAGAGGTGGTGTCAAACGCATTTCCGGGCTCATATATGAAGAAACTCGTGGTGTATTGAAAGTTTTTCTAGAAAATGTGATAAGAGACGCTGTTACTTATACTGAACACGCCAAGAGGAAGACTGTTACCGCCATGGACGTTGTGTATGCCTTGAAAAGACAAGGACGAACTCTGTATGGTTTTGGTGGATAAAAAAATCTTGCTCCAAAGCAAATAATACCCAACAGCCCTTTTTAGGGCTACCACCATATTTTAAAGGAAGTTAAAAGTTGCTTTTATACCAACTTATTATAATTGATAAATATCTGATAAGAATAAATAAAATTAGTTGATCAAAAGTTGCTCGATTGTTATTGGGTTAAGCTTCTTATAATAATATTTATCCTGGCTATCAAAAATCTTCAAGGATTTGCCCATGTTTAGTTTTTGAAAAATTGTTAGATATTTTCTATTATGATTTTTTAAAATATGTAATAAACTTGTCTGGTTAATAAAAGAACAACTAAATTTTCACAACTTTCTATTGAAAATGAAAGCATATCAATTTTTTCTTGTTTTGCTAAAACTCGAATTGTAATATGTATACCTTCAAATTAAATTTTTTTTTAATTGCTGAAATGAAGAGTAGGGTTAAAGAGAGGGTAGCCCAACTATTAATTTAAATTTCTGAAACTGAAATATATTGATAATTTTTCAACAGTTATTGTTAAATTTTAGAAATCATTTCAATATTTAAAAAGAGCATTTAAAAATTAAAATGCTCATGACATTTTTACTCAGTAAAATTTGTTAAACAGTGAGTATGAAAGGATTAAAAATATAGTCACTGAAAGCTAAAATAAAAATTTTATTAATGATGGCAAAAGTGGTATGTATTATAAATTTTATTAAACCAAGTCCTATTTCCTACAATTGAAACAGACCATTATGCATATGGGAGAATTTATATACCTAGTGAATTTACTAAAGTAATTGAAAAATGGAAATACAAAATTAAAGCTTCATGATAAAGGGCAGAAATAAGACTGGCACTCGAATGCATTAGGTCTGCATCTCTAGCAAATAAAATATTTATAATTTAAAAATAGCAAAGTATTGTAAAATTCAACATTCTTTTACACATTTATTATTATAGATGCCTAGTCTGTTAAAAAATAAAAGTATTTCTGCAATACTCCATAGAGACCTGCAGAGGTACCACGCCCCAGATTTTGCTTTATTAATAGTATTTCTCCTGATATAGGAGATTCGCGGTTTTGGCACAGCCTGGGTTTTTTAGGCCCGACCCGGATTTTTTTAGATGTATTTATTTTTAATTTTTATAGATAATAATGACCATTTTTAAAATATATGGCCCGGGTATTAAAAAAACATTTTTTTTAGTCCCGGCATAGGTATATTTAAACATATTAAAATACTGCCCGGACCTGCAGGTCTTTGATTTTTATAGAGCTAAGAGACTTAATCTTCTTGATAATAAAGTTTTTTAAATGATCTTGTACATTTATAAATTTCTACACAAATAGAGGCATTGGAAGCGGACAAAATTAAATTTATCTGGTGTAAGCATTTATTTATATCAGGGAGATGATCTCTATGGAAGGAAATCATAGAGATCTAACAATATATATAAAAAATTGGAAATGTTTTTGTTGCCGGGACATACGTTATCATGCTGAAATATTTTACCCAAGATATCGTCGATTTAATTTTAAATACCGATTTTCTTGACACCTAGATTTCGATATTGCGAGACAAATGACAAATTGCTCGATTTTATAGATCTATAATAGTTTTTATTCTCAAACGAAGATAACAAATTAAATAATTGAAATTATATCATATTAATAATATATTAAAATATTTTATTTTTAATAAAACATCAAATCAATATTGACCTGTAAAATAATTTTTTAAGGAAATTTCCTGTATTTTCCAGTTATTTCCCGTTTTTCCCCAAATTTTTCGGGAAATCTCCCTCAATATTTTTCCGGGAAATTTACAACCAAAGACATTTGCATACTAATATATAAATTTGATGTTAAGAAATGCAATCAAATTCTTACAAAATGAGATTTATAATTTATAATTATAAATATAATTTATGAACATTTGAAGCTTCTTTTCTACGCTAATCAACAAATGTTATTGAATATATTTAAAAAAAATGTACAACTTTTTTATAAAGGTATAGATTTTTCAAACAGCTCGTTATTTAAACGTTTTCTGTAATACTAAATAATGTTTCTACAGGGGCTGGTAAAGATAACAATACAATCAAATCATTAGCCACTTGATGAATTTGAAAATATTATGGTGAAGTTTGTTGAATAATTACTTTGAATCAGTAAAAAAAATTGGATGTATTCTCTAAAAAAACAAAAATTTAAATACATGTGTTTTAGGAAATTAGCGGTGTTTTGCAGATTACACAAGCTGTGTTTGTGGTTTTATCATTTATGAGTTATTTTAATAAAATTTAGATTGACAATTTAGATTTATCTTATACTGAATTTAAGATTATACTTGAGAAATTATAGTCAGAGCCCAAGGTAAAAGTTAAAGATTCAAAATCTCATTATTTTTAAAATATGAATGAAACATTGCAATTATTTAATAATTTTTTTTAAATATGAATGATGATGACAATTAATGAGCGTTTTTTAAAAATTAATTAAATAAGAAAACGAATATAACTGCCAATATTATAATTTTAAGCTTTTGAGAACTAATTTTTCAAATAGAACATCATATCTTTTTTTAATATATTTAACAACGGCGATGGATAGTAAAATTTTAATGAAGAAAAAGTTTTTTGATTGTTTGTATAGTATAGCGACTAAATGATTAGGATATTGACTAGAAGCAAACCTCTCAAAAATCTATATCTGACCCCCCCCCCTCCTATTTTTTTTGGCCACCTTCGGCTGCTATATTCCCGCATTATTAATTACTTTTTAATCATAATGGTCTCCCTTTATATTTTAAAAAGAATAACTTATAGAATTTAAAGCTATTCTGCAATATCGTAGTTCTGGTGTTTGAAGCGTTGAAAATTTTTTCTTCTTCTCACAAATAATAGAAGAAGAAACTGCGAATAGCATGCCCGACAAAGCACTCAACATCAATCTGTTACAGCCTTTTTGTATCTAAAAGAGCCTATAAATATCAGAATGGTCTGAAATCAATTTTACTGAATTTGATACATTGTTAGATTCAATATGACAGCTGATTTTTTCTAGTGTTGTTAAACGGCTCGATTTGAGCCGATTTTTAAAAACGGCTAACTCAATATTTTCGCCAGAATAATATTGTTTAAGTCTCGAGATTTCACTAATAGATGTCCAAACCTTTGTGCCTTAATAAGCAAAATCTTGAGGCTTGCATAATATTTTTCTTAATAAAATATTGAGTTAGCCTTTTTTAAAAATCGGCTCAAAATGAGCTGTTTAACAACACTAATTTTTTCATATCATGTACCTAAGAGGTTGGCACTAACTTAATTTTTTATTCACGACCCGTCCGTTAACGGTGGTAAAAATTATTCCCACCTTTTCACGATTGCTGCGTGAAAGTTTTAACCCGACCCGCCCGCTCATGAAAGATAATATATTGATCATTCCCGTCACGCCCATAAATTAACGGTTTTTGATTCCTTTCTAAATTTCTCAAACTTTATTGTTACTTTTACGCTTTTTTAAATTTATTCTATCATAGTTTTTTCTTTAATTTTATATTAATAATTAACAAATTTAAAAAAAGACGAATGTCCATATTTTTTGATTTTAATTGTATTCGTCTTTCCTTAAATGATTGGATATAAAAAAAAATCATTCACTAGAAACCGAGCTGGTCTGTGTTAATAAAATTTTATTAGCAAATTTTCTCAAAAAATGAAATGAATTTTCTTGCTTCCAAAACTAAAAATATTTTAATTGTTACTTGTTTTTATTGTTCTATTTCTTAGGGCTTTGATTATTATTGTGTCACCTTCCGAAGGTTGTCAAAATTTCATTAATTTTTGTTTCCATAAATAAATTCATTTATAGTGGTATAAGAATATGTGTTAAGATTTCCTGAGAATTCTCCGAATAGTGATAAAAAAAATTGACTGGTGTTTGAAATTTATATCAATGGTCGCTGATCTATTTAATTCTTGTTTATTAAGCAGGTAGATTTTTTTAAATCATATGATTTTAAGAAACTTTGTATCATGATATATACAGAAATCCATCTCGTTACTATATCTTGCTTAATGGAATGTTTTAGCTTGCTTTATGCTGCAGATTGCTTAAAATATTATACTATCTTTTTTACACCATTTATATTTAGAGGTATTTCAGAGAAATTATCAAAAATATAATGAATTCTGATGTTATTTAACATTTTTGAAGAAAAGTAAAACTATTATTTTTTTATCTATTTTATTTCTTTTTTTATAACATATATATATCTTTTTACAAAAATAATATTTTAATAAATATAAAAAGGTTAACTTATAGTAGAACTAAAATGAAAATATAATCTTAAAGTAAAACTAAAATATTGCTATAATATGAATAGTTACGACTAAAATAAAGACATAATATGAATAACACAGTTACGATTTATAAAACTAAAATAAAGATAGAATATGAATAATATATTATAATTTATATTATTCAACATTCTCCTTCTTCTAAAAAGCCTTCCCATAAGTTCATCTAAGCTGTCATAGTTAGTTTGTTGTCCAAGTGGTTTATCGTTTTGACCATCAAGTTGTTTCATAAGTCATAGTAATCGTTGGCTTGTCCCAATCGTTGGTTTGTTTTAATCGATTTTGCACGTTGGTGAGTTTAAATCGTAAGCTTGATATCCTTATCATAAGTTACCTTTATAAATCGTGAATCTGTCATGTAACTTGCTTGTAATGCTCAGTCACTATTATCAATTTTCAAAATTGTTATTATCATCAGTAAGTTACGAATAATGAGAAATAATAGTTCATCAAGTTGGATATAAGAAGAAATGAGGAATGATAAATCAATAAGATTGTTATGTAATATTTTCAGCGTTTTCATTTTTTGCGTTTTAGTGTAAGCGTTTTAATATTTAATTTACTTTATGCGTTTTAATATTTAATTTATTTTAATATTTTAAGTTATGTAGTCTTTTAAATAAGCAGGTTTTTGTTTAATTTGCACTGGTCTAGAAATCGGTGTTATATCATTTTTATCAGTAATTTTTATATTTTTGTCCA